TGTAGAGTAATTATCGCTTTGTGCGTCGGTGGCACAGCGGTAGAATGCTCGCCAACCACGTAATTGGTCCGGGGTTCGATTCCCGGCCAAGAAGAAGGAAAGGAAGGAAAAAGGAAGGCTGTGAAAATAAAATCCAACGCTACAGAAACTTCAAGCTTCTAGCTTGAAGCACTGTGTTCCAATGGGAACGTGAAGGAATAAAAAAGCTTTAATCCAGATTGTTATAAAAGTGACAAATTTAATCGGTATCTTTTTCATCGGTAGTTACCTGGGTTCCAGTGGGAAGTCGTGACCAGTAGGGTGCAGCTGGTCGGGTGTGAGGACAAATACTCGCCGAAGACATTGGCTAGCGGTCGCGCTATGTCGTGAATTGGCAGAAGTTAGAATTCAAGGACCATTGGATCGGGTCCCAGTGGCTTAATGGTATACGAGCTCGCCTTGTAACTGGAAGGTCCTGGGTTCGGATCCCGGTGGGTGGGTACTGCTGAAGAGTCCCAAACTAGGATGAAACAGCTGTCCAGTACTCCCAGCTAGTTTTCCAATGGTTCTCTAACTGATGTCAGCTCATGATGAAATCCTGAAACCAATCAAATCCCTACAAACCAACACTTGAATTAATCGGTATCTTTTCTTTGTTAAATACTTTTGTAAAACATAATAATAAGAATGTTGAAAAAAAGAAATCTCATAATAATAATACTTTTTTTCTCCCTTAACTGTCAGTGTTATTTAAATTTATTCGATAAAGGATTGTTAACTGTCTCACCTATTTTATTTTTTCTCTCTTTAATTATTTTTTTAACTCACCATACAGAATCCACCAAATTTTTGCATTCAATCAGAATTGAATGAACATACTACACTGAGAGTGACTACGAATGAAACACCACCACCACTACCACCACCGGTGAAAACCCAGGAAACCACATACACATCGCCAACAACAACACCACTGGCTACATCAGATGAAAATCGTCAACTTTCCGGTGATGAAGATGATTCTTTCGAATTAGCCATTATACCTAAAATTTTATCGCCAGGCTATTTGAATAAATCACCAATTAAGGAAACATCAACAATATCATCAAAAGAAAGCAAAATGGTTAGAATTCTCTTTTTTCTTCTATAATTTTGTAATATAGTAAACTTTTGATAACTTTAACAACATTTGGTCTCAGATGACTAAAGGCTTTAGAGGTTATAAATTACGGTTGTATACGGCAATAGAGATATTAAGAATATGATGTGTGACAACTCGGACAACTTTGATAATATCTCTCTGAATGCGTTACTTGTTATCTGCATATACCGTATTAGGTGAATACATGATCATTGTCTAGCCATCGATCTGTTAGAATTGGTTATAACCCGTCCGGCGGTCTGTTAATCGAACAACTTTGGTTCTCACCTTGCTAGGTGATGATACTTTTTGTGGAGTTACGTGTAGTGTAGTGTGTTTAACAGAAAAAGAAAGTGTTAAATTATTTTTTTATTTTTTTGATCACAGCTTGACTCCACACTGTATTTTTGTTACAGGTATGGAATTTTCAGCATGGATATCGGTAGCCCAATTTTTGCAGGCCGACCATAGATATCAGGTGTGCGTCGGCAGCGGATCGAACCTCGAACCATGTGCATGGTCGGCGAGAGTCCTAACCACTGCGCCACCGACGCACTTTTTATTTTACTGATAAGTTTGCAACTAAAAAGGGGATACCACTTGTAATTCCATCAGTTATTCCTTCATTTCCTGTCTTTTTTGTAATCTAAATTATGCATGATTAAAAATATATTTCGGTTCAGTATTTTCTATTAGTTTTTATTTCTTGAAGTTAGCTAGAGTGTGTAATTAAGACTTAGCTAAATTAGCAACAAGTTGGCAGAAAAAGCATCAAAGATAGGAAGGAGTTCAGGTGAACATAGAGGAAAACAGAGGTGATGAAGATTCTTGGGCAACAACAATAATAACAGACAACAATCAGCCAGCGTAAATGGGAGGAACCTGAAAGAAACAACCTCCTTTACCTACCTGGGAAGTGTCGTTTCAACTACGGGCGGAACTGACGAGAATATCAAAGCAACAAGGATCGGGAAAGCAAGACAAGCCTTCATTACTCTCAAGTCTGCGTGGAGGTCAACAGCACTCAGCATAAAAAATAAGGTCCGGATTTGCAACTCCAATGTAAAGTCAGTGCTACTATACGGATCAGAGACTTGACGCGTCATAAAGAGCACTTCAAACAAACTTGAGACCTTCATTAACAGTTGTCTTCGCTAAGTACTCAAGATCAGATGGCCGGTCAGAAAAGATCAGCAACAGGGAGGGATGTCTGGCAATGAGCGAACCAACCAGGAACCGATTGTGCAACAAATAGGCAGGAAGAAATGGAGATGGATTGGCCATACTCTTAGGAAACCATCAAGTGACATCACTAGACAAACCATCGCTCGAGTGGAACCCGAAAGGGAAGCGGCGAGGTGGTCTTCAGTGCAAGGGTGACTTGGAGGAGGTTATGTGAAGAGGAGATGAAAGCATGTGGGCAGACTTGGAGCGGAGTGAAAAAGTTGGCAGAAAACCGAAGGCAATGGAGACGCGCAGCTGAAGCCCTATGTTCCTCTAGGAATTAAAGGAAATAATAATATAATAAATGCCTTCAAATATCATAGCTCAAGATTAGATTTCTCAGAACTTAAATTTCATTGGTGACAATTTAACTTGAGTTACTGTTGCCACATAACCATTTTGCTCCATGGTTCTGACGTATAAATAGCGCTTAAAATCACCATTCAGTTAAGAATACTTTAAAGTTGTTTGGTAATCAATTAACAGCAGTCATGTATGAACCAATCAAAATCACTTGAAGCAATACGGGATGAATCATTGACTGATTGTATTATCATAGAGAAATTATTTCCTTTTCAATTTAGTTAATGTCTCTTTTTTGTTTAGAAATGTATTCGTACAATGAACAGCATTCCTCAAATTATGCGTAACATCAAAATTGTCACTTGGCACTTCAATTTTGCTCTCTAATTTTAAGACATCACTTGAAAGCCATACGGATATCGATCTTAAAACACTTTCCTCCATGTCACCTTACGAAGGAGTGATTAATTATGTGTATTCATTGCTGCTCAGGGTATTCAGAAGACTCCGAATTTTGACAGAGTCTTCGCCTAAGAGGACTTCATCAACAAGACTATAAGATGGTAACAGGTAAATTCCTAATTCGCCAAAATCAGTTAGGGTTAATTTCACTAGTACATCAATGATTAAATTCAACAGCAAAACAGACAGTGGGCATCTCTGAGGGACAAAACTAGTCGTCATCACTTCAGATGACCTCCCGTTAGGGTAAAAGTACTTCGAAGACATTAGAATTTTTCACAAGACATCTTGATTGAGATTCTTGTATACATCTCGACATCACGTTTTCGAATAATTTCTAATGAAGCAAGTATAGGACGTGGACTTGATCACTTTACTTTTTTTGGTAAAATAAAGTTTTAAAGTACTTCTACTTGTACTGTTTAATACATTATTGAACAAAACTATTAAAGCAAGACAGATGAAACAGTTCAGAGATAATAAAAGCCGAGTAATTAGGATAAAACAGTACAGCCTTTCCTTACATCCCAGTGAAAGAAAAAATAGCAACAAACCAGGAAAGAATAATTGCACTAGACGAAAAAAGCCAAAATAAAGCAATTCATATATATATATATATATATATATATATATATATATATATATATATATATATATATATATATATATATATATATATATATAGAAGCTCTAAGTGATAAGAAATATTCATTATTTTACCAAAAGACACATACAAAGCAGATGAATTTGAATTAACAAGATTACATAATTTAATTCTTCAGACAAGTATCTTTATGTTATCGTCATTAACAGTGTTAACACAGAACTATTAAACAAACAGCAAAAAAAGAATAGGCTTACCCTAACTTCAGATGATTCGAATCAATAGTAACAAAAAAAGAAATACATCTGACTCGCTCCCGTCAAATGTAAGATGATGTAACAGGACTGGACCACACTGACTCCTAGTTTAGAAATATAGGGTGAAGTGGTAGAGCACGTTGACCGCTTCACTTATTTGGGAAGTACCATCAGCCAGTGCCAACGGGTTGCTCACTGACGAAATCTCAGCACGGATACAGAGGGCTAGTTTCGCATATGCCAGTTTACGCCGTCTCAGGAGTAGACGTGATATCCGACTATCGACAAAAGGGTGGGTTTACTGCTAAACAATCCGCTTTGTCCTCCTTTATGGCTGTGAGACCTGGCCATTGAGAGTGGAAGACATGAAAAAGCTAGCTGTCTTTGATCATAGATGTCTGCATTCCATCTCCCTTGTGAAGGGGTGTATTAAAGTGAGGAATATTGAGGTGAGGCATCGGTCGAGGGCTAAGTAGGTAGGAGGGGAAGACAATCGACGAGGTTGTGGAGTTACATCGATTGAGTGAGATGGTCAGGACATGTGTTATGCATGTGTGCCTAGCCGTCAATCGCCTCCCTCAACTGACGGACAATGTTAGCTAACATAGGGTCAGGCTGGAAAAGAGCCAGCGGCGGTCAAACCAAAACATGGATTCATCAGTCAATGAAATCTACAACAGTTAGTTTAAGCCGGCCACGTAGGAAGGTGTAGACTTCCTGACTGGTTGGGGTCCTCGGGACGGTAAAAACCAATGGTTGGCGACATTCGGTAATATGGCTCCAAATCGTTCTCAATGGCTGGTGCAGATGCGTCCACTCCTTGTGACTTATGATTTCCAATGAAACTGTTTTGTACTTCGTTATCACTATTCCTTTGTCTCACACCTCTGTTTACTGTCTCTATTATGCATTTCTTCTACTTTCTTCTTTTGCTTTGTGTGCTACATGGAATGTGGCGACTTGAACTGCTGCACATAGGTGCAAAGTTCTATGTTGAATACAGACAGATTATATACTACTGAAATACAGTTTAATAACAAGATGAAAAATAAAACTGAAAAAGAAGAAAAATAAAATAGAACAAACTTACTTCAAGTGCTTTTTCTAAATCTTTATTCTTTTCTGTTTCTTGTTGTAAAGTTTGTTGTACATTCCCATACTAGATAAGTAGTAAATTAGAACAAATAAACAAATAAAAAGAAAATTGTATGTGAAATAAGTAAGACATTAATTTCAATGAGAAAGAGGAAATCTATGCACTGGGAGTAGATTTCTAAAATCACGTCACTCAGGAAATAAAAAATAACGGTCAACTGATGAGTGTTGGCTCTTAAACAGTTTAAGGGACATTGTATTCAGAAAAAAACAATTTCAGGAAGTGAAATAAATTGTTCAAGAAATTTGATAATTGCGTTGAAACAGGATCGAGAAGTATTGAAGAGTTGTTGTCTTTTAGTATCAGATTCTTTAACAGTGAACTCCCTCAGTCGCTAAGAGGTAGACCCGTTTGGTTAAAGGATCTCACCATGAGCTGCCGTCGGTTAGATAACCATTGGAAAACCACCTGGGAGTACTGGATAGCTGTTTCGTCAGCCTAGTTTGTCACCCTTCAAGCAGTACGCACCCACCGCGGGGTTTAAACCAAGGACCTTATGGTTACAAGGCCGGCGAGCTCGTAGACCATTGAGCCACTGGGACCCGATTCAGTGGCCTCGTAAATTCATGGGCTTTATGAAATCGATGAATACTTGATACCGCTTTACATCAGGGGATCTACTTTTTACTTTTTAATGACCATTAATACCCAAATAACTCTAGTTTCGCGGAACATTCAGTCAGGTGTGTGTAAAAGAAAAGTCCACGTGGAAATTCACACAAGTTCGTGGTAATACACTACCAAAAAAAGAACAAAATCATAATCATACTTGTTATGTACTCGTCGAGTAGTTAATAGTCCTGACGCGGAAAGTGAGAAATCAAAAGACCACCAGGTTTACGATGATACTTGTGTTTTCCAGACAAGGAAAAGAAATATCACACAAGTGTATGAGTGGAAAGGTACTTAGATGTACGAAAAGGTGTGTGTACACAAGAAAATATAAAAGTATATATGAAAATGATTAATACACATGAACCAACAATTAGCCAGTCTTAACATGATTGGTTGTAATGTCATGTGATAACAAGGTCATACATGTTTATTTAGTTAGTGGACAGACAAAAGCATATTGTCAGCTATAATGGAATATCGATCCAGATACACAGCAAAATATAACAAACTGTCAAAAACAAAACACACACATCATGTGGCTACATATCAATACTACAACAGATAAACATGTGTGGCAAAGATAATGATTGAGAAAAGGCTATTGCAGTCTTTCAGAATCTTTGGAACAACAGCTAGCGAATATATCAGCTGCACTGTAAACAATTATATTGATAATGGCGAATGTCAAGTAGTTCACAATGGAAAATTCGGTGAAACCTTTAAAATGAAGACAGGAGTTATAATAATATTCTTAAATGTGATGGACAGGATGACGCAGAAGAGTGTGCATGGCAGTGAGAAGACAGGAATACGTTGGACAGAAAAGGAGACTCTAGAAGATTTGGACGGCGAAGACGATTTATGTCTATTATTATATATTATTATTATTGTATCCTTTAGTTCCTAGAGGAACATAGGGCTTCAGCTGCGCACCTCCATTGCCTTCGGTTTTCTGACAACTTTTTCACCCCGCTCCAGGTCTGTCCGCATGCTTTCATCTCCTCCTCGCATGACCTCCTCAAAGTCACCCTCACACTGACGACCAACTCGCCGCTTCCCTTTCGGCCATGTTCCACTCGAGCAATTGCTTGTCTAAAGATGTCACTTGATGGTTTCCTCAGCGTATGGCCAATCCATCTCCATTTCTTCCTGCCTATTTGTTTCACAATCGGTTCCTGATTGCTTCGCTCCCAGAGATCCCTGTTGCTGATCTTTTCTGGCCATTTATGTCTAATATCACATAAATTCGAAGACTTACAGACAAAAGCCAACAACTTGGAAGAAGAAGCAGAAAAGACATGAGCTTTATTTGAACAACAGAGATGTTGGAAATAATCAACCAACCATGACAAGCATCAATCATTATTAAAGGAATAAATCTGAAGGAGGTTACTACCTTCACTTATCTAGAAAGCATCGTTTCAACCACAGGCCGTAATGATGAAGAAGTGAAAACCAGTCAGAATCGGAAAGGCAAGACAAACCTCAATTACTCTTAAATCAGTTTGGAAATCCTATGCACTCAGCCAGTACAAAGAACAAGATTCGAATTTTCAACACAAATGTTAAGTCACTCAGTCAGTCAGTCAGTCAGTCAGAGACTTGCACTACACGTCACGAAAAGCATTTCCTAAAGGCTACTGCAGACTTTTATCAACAGATGCCCACTTCACTAGCTTCATATCGAAGATCGAATGGTCAGAAAAAATTACCAACAAGAAACTCTGGCTGGTAACAAACCAACCAACCAATCAATAACGGATCGCTCAACAAATATCCTAGAGAAAATGGAGATGGATCAGACGCAGCATGCTGAGGAAACCGTTAAGTGAAGTCACGCGCTTGGCCGTATGGAAACCGACGAGTGGCTAGTCTGAGAGTGACATGGAGGAGATCATATGAGTTAAAGGAAGAGACGAGAGATTATGGGCAATTGTAGCCCTAGCTGAATAGGACTGCACCAAATAGAACAAGGTGGAGAAATGGTAGTGTTTCTTCATCTTTTAACCCCTGACATTATGCTGGATTAAAACTTGTGTTTATTGTTTGTGAAGAGAAAGTGTTTTGTAGGCAAGATATGAATGTGTACTAGATCAAAAGTTGTGGAGTAAATTTATTGATTCACTAATGTATGATCACTTCAAAAGTTGTCTTTTCAATGGGTTTGTAACGGTAGAAGACAAGAGAATTGGTAAACGAATGTGTATTTGGAATTCGGTATGTATACATGACGAACTGTCATTCGCATAGATCTTCCGTGCTACTTCTGCCTTTTTTATCGTGTTTTTTTGGTCTTCTTTTCTTGTCTCCCATGTTGTACCACAACGCTGGTTCATTTGCTCTCCTTGACTTCAAATCTTTCTTTCCTCTGTTTGATATTTTTGTGCTGATGAACGTCTCTTTATAAACTGTTGATAAATCTTATCACTAGCAAATGCCATAGGTTTGCGTAAGCATTTTGTATAAATTTGTACGAGTTAATCACGACTTGATATCAGTTAGAGAACCATTGAAAACCAGGGAGTACTGGACAGCTGCTGTTTCATCCTAGTTTGGGAATCATCGGCAATACGCACCCACTGGGATTCAAACCCCGAGGACCTTTGGGTTACAAGGTCAGCGAGCTCGTAGACCATTCAGCCAGTGGGACCCGATTTAATGGCCAGCTCATGAATTCTAACTTCTACCAATTCACGATTTAGCGCGACCCCAACCATTGTCGTTGGTGGGATATCCATCCACACGTGTGACATTCAATCGGACCTCACTGGTCACGACTTCTTACTAGGACTCCAGGAAACTCCATCCTGTAGCAAGTTGCTAGCGTGCATTAGATTAATTTTCTATAGTTTGGTTTTTTATATAAGTATTCGATTTCCCCTCCTCCTTTTTTTGAGAGTTTCTATTCCCAGTTTATTAACAAAAAGCAGCTACCCCATCCATTACCATGATTCAAACAAATTCACAAAATTTCATGCCGGATCGGCCGTGGCCCGGATTAACAACGACCGCGCTTCCTGCTGCCGTGTCACAGGGCAGGAGTGATAAGTATGCTACTGAGGCACACCAAACAAAAAAGAACGAACAAAAACAGGCCGCGTGTGACCGGCCTCAAGCAGTTGTCCCCTGGGCTCTGCGGTCACGCAACCAACTTCCACGGTGTGGGCAGCCGGGAAGTAACAAACGCCCTCACAATCCGAAATGCACACAAAACCTCTCTAATCCTCACTTATCTTTGTCTTCATCTTCATCTCTATTACCTTGCCTTCCTCCCACTGATGCAACTCCTCTACTTGATGGCTCCTCACTCCCTCTTCACTCTGTGTCCACTAAAAACGACGAAAGCCAAAAAACCACCGATAGTCTCCTAAAGCCACGCCACCAATTTCATATAGGAGCATTTAATGTTAGGACACTTTGCCAAATAGGACAACAAGCATCACTAGCTAAGACCCTGGCATCCGAGCCATTGATGTATGTTGTGTTTCAGAAACACGCATACAAGACCCAAGTGTGGTTATTCACCTAACCCCACCTGGCCAACAGGATGAATCTTCAAAATTCACCTTGAGGGTGTCAGGAGATGCCACAGCTAGTTCACGAGGATTAGCTGGCGTAGGGATAGCTTTGAGTACTAGGGCAGAAAAGACATTGCTTGACTGGATCCCAGTAGATAGCCGAATGTGTGCTGTCCGTCTGAACGGATCAGTAAGAAGGAGAAAGGACTGCACTACTCGCCGATGCCTTTTCGTAATCTCCGCCTACGCCCCCACTGACTGCAGTTCGGATGAAACGAAGGATGAGTTCTACCAAAAGCTGTCTAGTTTGGTGAGAAAGGCTAAACGCTCAGATATAGTCGTTCTAGCTGGTGACTTTAACGCTCAAGTAGGGAAATTGTGTCAATCTGAGAAGGATGTCGGTGGCACCTATGGAGTTCCGTGCCAGCGAACCGACAACGGTGACCGTCTCCTACAGTTCTGTTCAGATAATCATTTGTTTCTTGTAAGCACTAACTTTAAACACAAGGAGAGACACTGTTTAACCTGGCGACCCCCATCATCAAACCAACGCTGGACACAAATAGACCACATAGCAATAAGCTATCGTTGGCGTGGGTCGGTAGGAGATTGTCGCTCCTTCTGGAACACGTGTGTAGATACCGATCACGCACTGGTCCGGGCTCGTGTGTGCTTACGACTGAACGGACGTAGGAAACAGCTGGCGGTAAAACCATCACGTCCCCAGCTCGATCAGGAAACTAAATCCCTATTTGAGGAAGAACTAGCTAAACGCATATCTGTATTCGACAGCTGTGCTCACCCTGGAGAAGCCTGGAAGAATATTCAGTCAGCTATAGATACAGCTGTAAAAGCTGTGAATAAGGCAAATCCAAAGGTGAGTAAAAACCACTGGATTTCGACTGCCTCATCCGAACTGATAGATGCTAGAAGACTTATTCCGGCGAGCTCCGAATTCAATGAGGAGCGAAAGCTGCACAAAAGGAAACTTACTAAAAGTCTCCGCAAGGACCGTGAACAGTGGTGGGTGACAAAGGCGAAAGAGATGGAAAAAGCATCGGCGATAGGCAACACTAGGCAACTCTTTAGACTCATCACAGAAACGGGTGGGAGAAGGCAATTCATAAGTGAGACTATTTCTGAGAAAAATGGCTCCTTAATTAGCTCTCAGGATAGACGCCTTGAACGCTGGAAAGAACACTTTGAGGAACAATTTAACTTGCCTACAGCCACACTGAACCTCCCCGCCATCCACCACACCCGAATGGGATATAGACACTGGTCCGCCGTCTGTAGTGAGGTTACAAAAGCTATCAGTAATTTGAAACGAGGCAAAGCGGCAGGACCCGACGGAATTATTCCGGAGGTGTTTAAATATGGGGGTGACATACTAGTTTGTAGATTAACTGAGGTACTAGGCAAAGTCTGGGAATCAGAGACAGTTCCATCAGACTGGGGTAAGTCACTTATTATACCGATATTCAAGAAGGGAAACAAGTCCTCGTGTGATAATCATAGGGGGATCAGCCTAACGAACATAGTCTCTAAAATCCTAGGCTCAGTAATCATGCATAGACTAAGCAGAACTCGGGAGGAACAGACAAGGGAAAATCAAGCAGGCTTTAGACCAGGTAGAGGGTGCATAGATCATATCTTCACTCTTCGACAGATTCTAGAACATAGACACACTTTTCGGCGTCCAACAATTGTCATATTTCTTGACTTGAAGGCGGCCTTCGACTCCGTGGATCGAAAGGTACTATGGCAATGTCTGACTGTGAAGGGAGTGCCAAGAAAGTACATTGCACTAATCAAGGCACTCTATTCAAACTCACGTAGTCGTGTAAGGGCTTATGGGGAATTGTCATCTGAATTGGTAACAACCAGTGGTGTCCGACAGGGATGTCCACTTTCCCCATTTCTGTTTAACTTCATCATAGATATGCTAATGGAAGTATCCTTAACTGAACGTAATGACTTAGGAATCGACTTGTTACCAGGGAATAATTCTTATGGACTTAGAATATGCAGATGACATAGTCCTGTTAGGGGAGGATGCTGACAAAATGCAGAGTCTTCTGAACACCTTGAGCAGCAATCTTCGTATGTTTGGCATGCGATTCGCCCCTGCAAAATGTAAGATGCTGCTACAGGACTGGACGACGTCAACCCCTAACTTAGTGATAGGGAGTGAAGTGATAGAACATGTTGACCACTTCACCTATTTGGGAAGTTGTATTAGCACCAACGGACTGATTGGCGATGAAATCTCAGCACGGATCCGAAAAGCTCGAGCTGCTTTCGCTGACTTACACCATCTCTGGCGTAGGCGTGACATCCGGTTATCAACCAAGGGACGTGTGTACTGCTCATCAGTTCGCTCCGTCCTTCTCTATGGCTCTGAAACATGGCCAATACGCGTTGAAGACATGAAAAGGTTGACTGCTTTCGATCATAGATGTCTGCGATCTCTGTCTCACGTTAGGTGGTTTCACAAGGTAAGTAATGTTGACGTTAGGCGTAGAGTGTTGGGCAAAGAGGGAAAATCAATCGACGAGGCTATAAAGTTACATAGACTAAGATGGCTAGGTCACGTGCTGCGCATGCCTAACCACCGCCTCCCCCGACGGGCATTGCTAGCTGATATAGGTTCAGGTTGGAAAAGAGCCAGTGGTGGCCAAACAAAAACATGGCATCAATCCATGAAATCCTTGACAGTTAAACTGAGTCAGGTAGGGAGATGCAGACTCCCGGGTTGGGGCCCTCGGGACTCTAGGAATCAATGGCTGGAGACAATAGGTGACATGGCTCAAAATCGTTGTCAATGGCGCGCAGATGTATTCAGTCTCTGTAATCTTTCATATTCCTTTCTACCATTACCCATTCTGTTTCACTCTTATACTTGTCAAACTCTATTGATTCTCTTCACTCATCTTCCTGTGTGCTATTTGGAACGTGGCAACTCGAACTGCTGCACTTCGGTGCCAAGTTCTATGTTGAATCCAGACAGAGACAGACAGGTGGAGATGTGTTGTTGTTACTGGAACATTTTCAGTGAATTGTAAACATTCCAATTTAAACAACACCAGGTTTACAATCTCTTCAATACTAAAACTTCTTAAGTAAAAGTTAACTGGTAAACAGCTACATTGAAGATGTTATTTAGTGAGTATTATTTGTAACCAACAAATAACAGAAACTGAACTATGCACCTTAAATAAATCCGAAATCACTGTGATCAGTTAAGACATCTAAGAGACGCTGTTTCTTACCTCAAACGTATATGCATAAAGGAATTTAAAGAATAATAATAATTAATATTATTCTATAATAAATCCTCCTTTTTATAGGATATTTTAGAATACTACATTTTATTAAGTCACCAAAAGCCCACCTATGAAGACAGTGTAAAAATTAGAGAGAATTTGGTGAAACCAAAAAAAAAGGAATGAAACAATCGCGCTTCTTTCTCTTTTTATTTTTTTAAAAGTTATTAATCGATTAGGAGAAATTGTGTATTCGATTTCACCTTTTCACTTCAACTATTATTTTTATTAATTATAAACGAATTGTGAATTTTAGTAACAGTGCACATTGAATGACTAGTCGTTAATCTGATAAAGAGTAGAAGGAAGGAAGGAAATTGTTAAATTTTTACGAAGAATTTACGAAAATGATGTTTAAAAGTTTTTATTTCAGATTATTTTCATGTTAACAAAAATTGAAATTGTTAATATCTTGTATTCTATCTCTTCTTCTGCATTGTTCCTAATTAATCTTTCCTGGGCGACTTAAGAAAGACTGTGCTATATACTGCAAAGGGCAATAAAAGTTGTCGGTAAGGTGAGTGGAATGTCATTAAACCAACTTGTTAGTATTTGTTGTAGACAAATACTTGAGCCCATGCAAAAAATTGGCTATCACAAGGTATCTCCTTGATACGGATCATGAGGTGGATGTCGTAAAAGTCGTTCAAAATAATCAATAGTCAGAAGAGTTCTATTCGCCTAAAGCTAGACAAAGCAATCTTCATCAAACGCCTGAAACCCGATTTATGCATTCAGAAAGAAGCGGTTATCGGCCTTTTCTTCCCTCGTAAGCGGATGTTTTCATCTTCTCTTTCATCTGATTATGTAATGCCGAAAGATTCCATTGTGTATGATTATTATTGTTGTTTGGGATGTTATTATGTTAATCTGAAATACGCATCCTGAATTCCACTGCTAGTCACCATCCACAAATTAAATTCTAATTAAGTGTCCAGACATCGTCGAAGCATCTGCATAAGAAGCCGACATGTCAACCTCAGTCCGTGCAAGTATGTTAAAATTGTTTCTGCAGATATACGGAATAATGTCACCACGTTGTAAGCAGCTGATGAAAAGCCAATGAAACAAACGATGGTATCGTTTTATTCGGCACAAACTGTTGTTCTTGCTTTACTCAAATTCATTAAATGGAATAAATGCATGAATATCATCTTGTTAGATTCTGAGAATCCTCCCCATGCGTAAGTCTCCTCCTTGGATCTTATCAGCAGAACTAGAAGGAATTCTAAGTGAGTTGACGCTCGGATGACCATATGTAAAAGCTTAACGAAATCTTGTTTGGCAGGTATTCTATGTAATGAGATGTCAGGCATGAAACTACTCAATTACAATGAAATAGCAAGTAAACGGTCATTTTTATCCTCTCTGTTATTAGTATGTTATTATCAATGCTTCTCTTTAATTTTCATTCTACATTCAATTTTTTATAGATATTAATATTAATATAAATGCCTTGATAATTACTTTCCCCATTATTATGTCATGTAAGGAGAAAATCAAATACAATACTGTACATGTTAAGAATTCTAAACTATATCACATGTACTATATATGAAGTGTTTGGAATGAAGCTATTATTTTGATTACTACTAAATTATTGTTGTTGGTTATAACACGAGAAACCTGGTTATTTTTTTTTGGAAAATTTTATGTCATGCACGCCATTATCATGTGATAGTAGTAATTTGCGTATATTCAACATGCAACATTCCTAGTAAAATTCTGACTAGTCCAGAAACTAAGAACAGGATTTCATACGGATAATCAACACTTTATTCCACGACAGTTAGTTTAAGCCATCCAGCCAGCCGGCAACCCACGTAGGGAGGTGTAGACTTCTGTCTAGTTGGGCTCCTCGGGATGGTAAGAACCAATGACGGCTGGAGACAATTGGTGAATTGGCTCAAAATCGTTCTCAATAGCTGTCGCAGATGTATCCACTCCTTGTGACTTATAATACCCAATAAAACTATACGGTCCTTCGATATTACTATTCTTTTTGCCTCATACCTCTGTTTACTATCTCTGTTTTGCATTTCTTTATACTTCTTTGATTGTTATTCTAAGTGAAGTGTGGCAACTGGAAATGCTGCAAATCTGTGCAAAGTTCTATGTTGAAACCAGTCAGTCAGTCAACCAACAGCTTCATTTTGGATCATGGAAAAAGAAATAAGGAAGACAAAAAGTTACCTTGTGACAAAAAAGAAAAACAGGAATATCTAACTTACATTTCTTAAGAGAACAACATGTTCTTCACGTAGTTTTGCATAAATTTCTTTCAATTTTACAAATTTTTCTTCAAAAGCTTGAGCTTGACACGTTTTATCATTTAACTGACTTTCAAAGTTAACCTGTTGCTAATAATCCCAAACCAGGGGCATAGAGGGAATATTAAAAAAAAAAGACAAAACAAGTGTGTAGATGAAAATAATGATGTACAGCTTGTGAACTAATTAGTTAGTTAGATATCTAATAATACGAATTCGTAGACGTTGACAAATAAGTAAATTAGCGGCAAAGATAAATAGGATAAAGAACAAGATTCATATGTCAACACAAATGAGAAATCAGTCAGTCAATTCTTTTATGTAGGTGAGAAACTTGCACTGCGTATCAAGAAAAAAAAATTTCCGACAAGTTACAGACTTTTATCAACAACTACCCACTTCGTTGGCTTCATACTCTGGCGATCAGATGGCCAGCCGGCCGGCCAGCCAGAACGAATTAGCAATAAGAAACTGTAGCTGAGAACAAACCAACTAACCAAGAACCAATTTCTCAATAAATATCCTAGAGAAAATGGAGATGGATCAGACACACGCTGAGGAGACTGTTGAATGACATCGCGCACAATGCAGACTATCCCTCGAGTCGAATCCCAATGGGAAGCAACGAGTAGGTTATCGGTGCGAGAGTGACATGGAGGAGATCGTGCAAGGAGGAGATAAGGGATTATGGACAATCGTGGACCCAGCTGAAGAGGACAGCAGAAAACAGAACGAAGTGGAGATGTGTGGGGATAATAATAAAATAAACCTGTCATCAATGTTTGAACGTCATTAATTCCCTGAGAGAAGTGTATTTTTCAATTGAATCTTACGACAAAACAATTACTGATGCAATATCAGGCCGAACAGATAGGTAAGACACCAAAGGCCTGCCACATATGTCTTTGTTAACAAATTAACTGAACATGCTTCATTTGATGTGACGCACATTTTCTTTAAGAAAAAACTCTCCACTTTGTTTTAGAAGATGAAATGGTTTATCAATTACGTCTAAGGTTAGGAAGTCTATTTCGAAGCTGAAATACAGTAAAGCATTGCAATTTGATGCTACAAGATAGAATGAATTTATGACCTAGCAGACGGTATGGTATTTTTAGCCTTCAACAAGTTTCACAATACACAAGTATACCCTCATAATCATAGGGCAATATTCCAGTTTATCGAATCAGACGTATTCTAGTGTTTTCCAATAGATAGGGAAGTGTCAAGTCAGTATGTGTTATAGTAATCGATGTCTGCTCCTCACAATTCACATGACTTATTATTAGCAACGCATACAGAGTTGTTGTTTGAGGTGAATATAAACAGAAACAACTCTCCGGGATGTCGACTATTGCTCGTCTTTGATTGGACACCACTAACTAGCGTGGTGTGTCTAGTCCTTACTTTGACACAGGGTGAATTCTATCAGTCAGGTTTGCAATGTGGCCACCATTCTAGGTAGCTAGCCATCACGATGCACATTGATTTAATGATATTCGATGTTTGGAGGCAATCGGCAGGAAGCTCTGCTCGACCCAGGTTTCGTGCTAGTTGGTACTCGTCAGCAAAGCGTATCTTCAACCTTGAAGGAACTCATATCCCTCCAGAGACTTGAACCCGCTTCACCCAGTGAGCGCTGCAGTCAGAGATGGCAACCGTCTTTGCCAGAATAGTAATGCTGTATTCTGACTTCACAAGAAGTGATATACTGTATGAAGAATATCATGTTGATTTACAGAACTCAAACAACATACTTGCTATAAATAAGATAACAATTACTTAAGTCAATATTTGTCAGCATTAGTTATTCACTTCAAACCTGACGAATATAAGATCCTGTGAGGAAGCAGAAGAAAAAGCACACCAAATCCTAACCGAAATAGTCGGAATCACTGAAGATTTCAATGATTTCGGTAGTCATATCAACCATACTAAGACCGATGCTAACAAAATATAAAGGTAAATACATAAACCCCATTCACTAACCTGCATCATATGTGATACACAATATGTCGGAATACTGATCACATGTAGTAAATGTAGTTAGCAGACGTTTCCCTCATCAATATTCCAGTGTTGGTTTGTAGGGATTTGATTGATTGGTTACAGGATTTCATCATGAGCTGACATTGGTTAGAGAACCATTGGATGAGATGCTCACTAGCGACTGGCCCTATTCAGGGAGGTAGTTACCTGGGATTCCGGTGAGAAGTCGTGACCAGTAGGGTGTAGCACGTCAGGTGTCAGAACAAATACTCGCCGAAGACATTGGCTAGGGGTTGCGCTATGTTGTGAATTAGTAGAAGTTAGAATTCATGGGCTATTGGATCGGGTCCTAGTGGCTTAATGGTACATGAGCTTGCTAGCCTTGTAACCAGAAGGTTGTGGCTTCAAACCCCGGTAGGTGAGTACTGATCAAGAGTCCTAAACTAGGACGAAACAGCTGTCCAGTACTCCCAGCTAGTTTTCCAATGGTTATCTAACTAATGTCAGCTCATGATGAAATCCTGTTTCCTTCATCCTTTTGCAATGCAATGACTTATAGTCCATGATAATATTCAAACGTATTTGACAATAGGCATCTTTGTTGTGGTCGTTATATACACAACAGGAGAAAAAGGATTAAAAATGAATGTATACAACAGAGAAATTAATCAAAGTAAATGGTTAAGATGAAAGCAACACAATCATCTTGGAATGATGATGGCCAATGTTATTTAAAACAAATTAATTCTATGTGGCTATGAAAAGATTACAGACTACAGAAAATAGGCATTTCGAATAGCCAACTACTATTATAATATAAAAGGAAGAAAGCGAATTAATAAAAGTGTGAAATAACATAACATCCTATAAAAAAAGAGATTGTTTTCATTTGAAAATAAATACTTTCAATAGGCTTAATATAATTAATTATTCACATGATGCATAGACGATTATTCAAGTGGATAAATGTCAGGCTGAATAAAAACAATAACATTGAAAAAATTTCAACAAATATACGATGAAGATAATGATGAATTGTGATTGCTTTTTAATAGCATTATGATGTAAGGCATTACACTGAGGTAAACAGGTCAATGTGAAAATAAGAATAACAGTGGGACATCAACAATAAATAAAGAAAAGAAACGGGAGAGAGAGAAAAAAAGTCGAAGATATTCAAGAAGGAAAAAGATTCTTACAATACAAGCAGACTACAAAGTGATAAAATAATTAAACATTCTATCTAGATGAATATTAGAAAGCAGAGTATTTCAGGATAGTAAGCGCTCTGATTACCTGTTTTATCCTGAAATTTGAATTATAAGGTGTGAAACTTTGAAAGTCTGATAAAAAGTTAAATTAAAGCCTTAATGTGTCTCTGGAATTGATTAATTTGCCAAACCTCCTTAATGCCGAAAACAGACATCCAAGCTCATAGGAAGTTCTAGACTCAATAGTCATGTGTGCACTAAGTGGTGCTCGGAAAGAACATACACGAGGGAAACAGGTAGGCTTCAGATCAGGAAGAGTGTGGATTAATCATACATATATTTACCTTTTGACAGATTCTGGAAAATAAGCATACCTACCAGTGTCCAACAGTCGTCATATTTCTTGACCTAAAGACGGCACTATATTCTGTCGACCGAGAAGTACTATGGCGATGTTTGGATGTGAAGAGAATGCCGAGAAAATACATTACATTCAACAAGGTACTCTACTCAAACTCATACTGTCAGCCTGGTAAGAGACTACAGAGAGTTATCATCTGAAGTGGTGACAACTAGTGGTGTCCGTCAGGGATGTCCACTCTCCCAACTTCTGTCTAATTTCACCATAGATGTACTAATGGACAAAACTCTAACTGCTGACCTTAGTGACTCAAGCACTAACTTTTTACTAGGGAATAATCTAGTTGACTTAGAATATGCAGATGATATAGTCATTCTAGGTGAGGACGATGAAAAAGTGCAAAGCCTTTGGAATACCTTGAGCAGCAATCTTCGGATGTTTGGCACACGATTTACTTCAACAGTCAAATCTAAGATGATGCTACAGGACTGGACTACGTCGACTACTCCTAGCTTAAAGATAGGGAGTGAACGAGGGCTGGTGGAGCGTGCTGACCCCTTCACTTAATTGGAGATTTGCGACGGGTTGGTGGTTGACGAAGTCTCAGCGCGGAAACAGAAGGCTCATTTTGCGTATACCAGTGTATGCCATCTCTGACTTATTGGACGTGATATCCAGCTGGCTATCTATCAAAGGACGTGTAAACTGCTCAGAAGTTTGCTCTGTCCTCCTCTATGGCCGTTAGTGAGATGTGATCATTGAATGTGTTAGACATGAAAAGGCCAGCTAGCTGTCTTTGATCATAGGTGTCTGCATTCCATTTCCCGTGTGAAGGGGTGTATTAAAGTGAGGAATATTGAGGTGAGGCATCGGTCGAGTGCTAGGTAGGTAGGAGGCGAAAACAATCAACGAGGTTGTGAAGTTACATCGATTGAGTCAGATGGTCAGGACATGTGTTATGCATGTATGCCTAGCCGTCAATCGCCTCCCTCAACTGACGGGCAATGTTAGCTGACATAGGGTCAGGCTGGAAAAGAGCCAGCGGCGGTCAAACCAAAACATGGATTCATCAGTCAATGAAATCCACAACAGTCAGTTTAGGCCAGCCAGACAGCCATGTGGGTAGGCGTAGACTTCTGTCTGGTTGAGGTTCTCGGTATGTTGAGAACCGATGACTGCTGGAGACAACTGGTGATATGTCTCAAAATCGTTCTCAATGGCTGTTGCAGATGCATTCACTCTCTGTGATTTATAAAATCCGATGAAATTCTTGTCCTTCCATATTTATATTTCTTTTGCCTCATATTTCTGTTTATTACATCATCAAATTACATCAGATAAAGTTATCTAATACGTTATTATATTCTGTTGCAGAGCCTAAATCCCATTCTTATATCAGAAACACCCAAAACGACCTCAGATTACGAAAACCAGTGTTCAAAATTGTCTGCATCATGCTATTATCTACATCCAACTGGTTTATGCCTTTGATTTATTTCTACGTCAGCGATGAAATCTTCCAACTAAGAAGAGTTTAATACTTTTGAAACTGATTAGTCTTTCATCGTGAACCATGGTTAACTTTTGCATAAATAAACACTAAATTTAATATGAACTCTAGAGAATGATGAATGTTTTTAATCAAAACAAAAATTTTACAAACTTGAATTCTTACCCAGCCAATCAATGTTTTAGTCACAGAAATCCAATAAAAACACAATCTAAATATTTGTGGGACTTAGGAATACACATTAAGTTCACGTCCCCCAGGGGAACATAGTGCTTGAAGCTAGTGACTTGAAGTTTCTGTAGAAGTGTTTATTTTACAGGATGCCCAACCTTTCCTCTTTACCAGAATTATTTCTAGCTTAGCGAGGTAAAGGAGTGAGTCGGCCAGGGGTTGAATCCCGGACCATGTGCATGGTCGGCTGGTGTCCTAACCGCTATGTCACCGACGCATATTAAGCAGTTAGTGATAATAAGGTTCACATGCAGGACTCACAAATACATGAGTGGTTAATCCTAATTACACATATGGAACCTATACGTGTGCTTATGAAAGCTTAAGATACACTCCGCCTGTTCTCGCACAAGGGATTTATAGTTTATGACATTGAAAACGTGGCTGAAGAGTTGACTGCTTAAAAAAGTAGGTCACGTTTCCATAGTTTCATAAGGTCATTTCTTAGAACATGACTTAAGTAAACAAATACCTGTTTTCGGTAAATGCTCAACAGGATTTACAATTACATAATAAATTATCAGTCGTAGACATTTGAAACAGTTTGGATCAATAGAATCAAATATAATCGAAGACAGTGTGAGCAGAATACGAATAACCGGGATAACTATTCTAGAAAGGGGTTGAAAGCCAGAGGTGAGAGATAGTTTGAACGAACGCTATCTGAACCAAAGATTGGACTGAAAAATTTTCTTAGCTTAGTAATCAAAGGCGTGCACATTTAGGGTGCAATCGGTGTAACACCTTGCATAGACTTGTGGAGACGGAATTTTTATCAATCTTGTGATCAGTATCCAATAGGTGCGCCAATAAGGAAGGTCTGATTGACTTTAAGATTTCAGCTTGAGCATTGTTCAACCAAGTGAGGCAAAACGAACTGTAAAGTCAATCCATATCCCACCTGTATTCTTCAACCCCATCTTAAAATAGTTATTCCATATATTAGTATTATTATTGTTCTGCTTACATTCCTTTCGATTATATTTGACTCTATTGATCCGAATTGTTTCATAGGTCTACAATTGATAATTTATTACGTGATTCTAAAGCCTGATGAAAATTTACCGAAAATACGTATTTGCTTACTTAAATCGTATTCTGAAACATGACCTTATGAAACTGTGGAAACGCAACTAACTGTTTTAGGCAGTCAACTTTCCAGCCATGTGTTCACTGTCGTCATAAACTATATTTTACTTCCCTTTGGCTTGCACTAATTACTAGTTTTAAAGTATTGGTTTTGTAGGGATTTTGTTTGATTGCACGGAGGTTTTCATTATGAGCTGATATCAGTTAGAGAACCACTGGAAAACCACACAGAAGTACTGGATAGCTATTTCGTCAGTCTAGCTTGGGACTCTTCAATGGTACGCACCCACCAACAGGAGGTTCGAACCCAGGACCTTCTAGTTGCAAGGCGAGCTTGTAGACCATTAAGCCACTGAGACCCAATCCAATGGCCAGTGCATGAATTCTAACTTCTGCCAATTCATGACATAGCCCGACCATTTCACAATGTCTTCTTCGATGAGTTACTGCCTCATCTTCGATCTGCTGTACCCTACTGGTTACGGCTTCCCACTAGAACCCAGGTTAGCTGCCTCAAGCAGTAACTCATCGAGGAAGACATTGTGAAATGGTCGGGCTATGTCATGAATTGGCAGAAGTTAGAATTCATGCACTGGCCATTGGATTGGGTCTCAGTGGCTTAATGGTCTACAAGCTCGCCTTGCAACTAGAAGGTCCTGGGTTCGAACCTCCTGTTGGTGGGTGCGTACCATTGAAGAGTCCCAAGCTAGACTGACGAAATAGCTATCCAGTACTTCCGTGTGGTTTTCCAGTGGTTCTCTAACTGATATCAGCTCATAATGAAAACCTACATATAATTACTAGTTAACCGAAAAATTAAATAAGAAAACTCTCACCCATTGAAGGTGTTATACTTGGAAAGAAATACATGAAAAATGAAAATAAAAGCTTCATTTAGGATAGTATAACAAAGATATATAGATATGAATAAAACAATAAATAAATGAGATTTATTGAAGATTTCGAAGAGTTTAAAAGGGAATAAATGCATTCAGGGAAATCATGCATAAGTTTAAGCCGTCAATTCTTAGCATATCTATACACTTACGGAATCATTACATAAAATAGAAATTTAAGTCAAGTTAGTTTCATTCGGAAACCAAGACATACTATTGAAAGGTCGGGTAAGACATTTCTACTAAGGACATGTAGTTCTTAGTTGATAAATACTGAGTCAATGCTTGAATGGTAGGATACTCATCAACCATGTGGGATGTGAGAATTCCATTCTTGATTAACGCACCCCGAAGTTCACTCCACTCCACCCTAGTTGGTGGTAAGCCTGGAAATAAAGTAAGGTTGTCAGTGAGCCTAGAAACCTAACCCTGTAAATGCACAAACCACTACCTTTACTGAAAGTTCAAAGCTAAAAGCCCTATGCTCCATTAAGAAGACAAAGAACGGAAAGAAACTCTGTAAAAACTATCTTTACAACTCATCAAATGAAAATTTCTTTTTAAATCTTCAAACGAATCAAATTCCATTCAAATTTTAATAGAATTGTATCATAAAATAGAACAATCAATCAATAGTACTTCTCAAAGTTTTCATCACTCTGTCTACGTGTGTGTGTGTGTGTTTGTGTCACAGAGTCAATGATGAACAAAAAAACATCGTGAGAGAATGGAGATAAATAGACAGGAAGCCAAGAAAATTGGGCGAAGGGATGAAATTAGAACAAGAAAAGTGTAGACGATAGACAGACCAAAATGTTTGAAATAACTTTCTTATTGGTAAAAAATAAAAAAAATAACTGATATTGTGAATACATACAATGAAATATGCATCTCAGTAATGAAAAAGAAAACAATTTCAGCAAATTCTCCACTTTCCTTGGTGAACAATAGTCACAGACATGTTTACAATTCCACATATAATCATAATACGTGTATCTTGAGAATATTTAATCAAACACGATGTGAAAAGACTTTCAGATAAAACCTATTTACAAAAGAATAGTACAGGTTTGATCATGAGCTGACATCAGTTAGAGAACCGTTGAAAAACCAAAAGGTATTGGACAGCTATTTCAGCCGAGTTTGCGACACTTCAGTAGTACGGAACCCAGAACCTTCAGATTACAAGACAAGTACATAGAACATCCAACCACTGGAACCTGATCCTATGCGCTATGAATTTCAATTTCTGACAATTCGAGTTAAAGAACAGTAATCAAAATTACTCATACTAATACTTTAAAATTCAACTCAAAATGTAATCTAAATTATGTAACTACATGGACAGATAATTTTTGGTTAACATTTTTAATGAAAATAAAAGCATTAACTCTCATTCGGCTTTAAAACTCATCCAGATGTGTAAATGATGTGATGGAGGACACTTTCAGCTTGAGTAGACGTTATTGGTGTAGCTATGTTCTCTGAAGAATGAAAAACACAACTATAAAGCATCTAGATAACAGAATACAATGGCATTAATAAATATATATAGAAATTATAAATGCAATAAACTTAATGATGATAAGCTAGATATAATGATTTAGTTTACCTCTTCATGATTTGATTTATATTGTACAAGTTCTTTAATTTCATCTTCTAAAACTCGGATACGATTTAACAGAGAATAGGATTGTTCTTGGTGCTAAATTGATAAAGTTAAAGAGGAAAAAAAGGAACGAAGAACTACTTAGGTGATGTTAATTTCTATCTATTTGTGTACAAAACACACACTTGAAACAACACTACACGCTTGTTATTTGTTAGCGCCCTGAGCATCTCATCCATCCATAAATTCATTTCAAAATCTTACTCATGGAAAACCAATGCTACAAATCAGTAGATGTTTTTAAAAAAAATTGACACATAGTCCCGAATAGAAGAATATATAAATGAAAATTTTCAAGCTGAAAAATTGCTGGGAACCAGTCATTTGAAATATTCTTTGTCTTTCTTTGAGGTGTTCGCTGAAGAAACCTTACCCTATTCACAACAAGACTTTTAAAATGACAGTTGGTGGATTGAAGAGTCAACAGCAAAAAGTTACACCAATTTAAACTATGATCACATCAAGTATGATTGTTTTGGGCAGAACCGTTTTCAGGATTTCATCATGAGGTGATACCAGTTACAGAGCCATTGGAAAACCACACGGAAGTACTGGATAGCAGTTTCGTCAGCCTAGTTTGGGACTCTTCAATGGTACGCACTCACCAACAGGAGGTTCGAACCTAAAACCTTCTGGTTACAAGGCAAGCTCGTAGACCATTAGGCCAATGGGACCCAATACAGTGGCTAGTGCATGAATTCTAACTTCTGCCAATTCATGACATAGCGCGACTATTTCGCAATGTCTTTGGCGAGTAATTGCCCACAAACCCAACCTGCTGTACACCATTGGTCACGGCTTCTCACTAGAACCCAGGTAACTACCTACCTGAACAGGGCCAGTCGCTTTTCAGCATATCGTTGATATTCAACTACTGGTTTGGTCAGGCTATATCGGGAATTGGCGGAAATTGGAATTCATGGGCTGGTCACTGGATCGGGTCCCGGTGGCTTAATGGCTCTTCCTCTAACCAGAAGGTTCTAGGTTCGAACCCCAGTGGGTGCGTACCGCCAACGACTCCCGAACTAGGATGAAACAGTTGTCCAATACTTGCACAAAAACATTTTATATATAGGTTTAAAAGACACATAAACATCAATTTTATGTCCTGTCTCTATAATATGTTTCGCAATAGAGGAACTAGGTTGTCTGCTCTCGCCATTAATGGGTACCGAAGCTTCTTTTAGCTTCTGAAGTCCTTATTTGCAGAGATCGATGAGTCCTCCCTATGAACGTGTAGGCATACGTACATTGAAAGCCGTAAATACATTTGGATGTGACACTACTTTTCGTTTATTCTAAGGGCTTAAATGGATATATTGGCTTCATGTTCTCAATTATCATAGTATTAGCTGCATAAAAAGTCTTTTTACATCATCACTCAATCTTTGTCTAGTTATCCATCCGCTAGGATGCCCCAAAAAGGGTAGCTTGATGTACACGTCTTTCTTAGTGGCCAGTTGGACAGTGGGTCTTGGTGTCCTGACTACTTTATATATCCCGATGAGCTTGTTTGGGTAACTTTTATCAACCAGAGTGTGTGCCAACTTTCTTTCTTCCTCACCAAGTGTGTCTTTAGTGCAGATTCGCTCGATTCTACTAAAGAGGGACCTTACTAAGGCTCTAAAGTACCGAGCTGGGCAGAAACTACGATAATTAAGATACTGTCCTGTCCACGTAGGTTTTCTGCAAAGAGATCGTTTTATTGTCCTATCAAGCCGTCGGCTAAGCAATTTGTCTAGGAAAGGCAAACAATTATCTTCCTTATTCTACAGACGTAAATAATTTGCTATTCTGAACTTCATTCATTTGATTAAATCCTCCGATAAAGTCTTAACGTACGACATACAGATATCTGCTAATAGGGGACCTAACGGATTTCCTATAGCAACATTATCAACCTGAAGGAAACAATCGCCTTCAAATGTAAGCCTAACATTGCTAGTACACAAAAGTCATTTAACTTTTGAAAAATGACAAAATATGTACCGTAGGAAGAATATACAAATTTTTATTAAGTTTATAGTGTAATTTAAAATAGTGCTATTTGACTAATTGTGTATTTTGGATGTCATATCCATTAAAGGATAATTGACGCAGAGCATAAGCTTTCGATTGAATTGTTTTCGTTGTACTATCGGAGTAATCATTCGAGCAGTGTGGAGATTTGATGTGAAGGAAATGACACTAATTTTGTTAGAGTGACTGACTTCTGAACTGTGTCACGTAGACAGATTTGCTTTACTTGACTGGATTTTACCTGCTATTGATGAAATTAAGTAGAATGGCTCAGAATTGGCTGAAATAGTATTGGTGCATTCACAAATTATCTTAACTGAAACATGATATTAAGGTGGTTGATAGTGCGAATTTTAGTCATAGGTATAGTTTTATTAATATTTGGTTTTAGGCTGATAATCTCTTTTTTCATCCACTTAACCAAGAAATATTTGCACCTGACATATATCAACTTTTAGAGAGCGTTCGGCTATGTCAACCGCGATGTCATTTCACAACTACTTCACCAGTACGGAGTATACTGCCTCTATTATTCATATAACTCATTTGACAGTTATCTGATGATATTGCATGCCAAAAGCTTTACAGTGGAGACCTCAATGAAGCGATTATAGTTAAGACGGCAGTAGAACACGGTTTCCTACCATCACCAACTGGATCATGCTCAAACCTCGGGGAACGAGAGGACAGACATACGGATAGTGAAGAGACCCTATAAGATCTGGAATGTACGGATGAACTATCTCTCATGTAGCATAAACTCCAGTATTTATAGCGAAAACGAACAAGTTGGCGAAAAAAAAACAGAGAAGACAGAACTTCAGATGATGAAGATGACTGACTAAGAAGAAACAATCATCAACAGCAGGAATCTAAAGGAAGTAATCCCATTGACTTTATTTGGGGACCAAGTTAGTTCTCAAGGTGCAATTTTGTACAAAAGTGTAACAGTTCAAGTTACCACATTCTTAACATTGTCAAAGAACCTTTTAATCAACAGAGGTCTGAAAATATGGCAAGTGTTGGACGCCCTTAAGTATGTCTATATTTCAGATTGTATTGAATGTTGAAGATATAATCCAAATACCCCCTCTTGTCCTGAACCCTGACTGGTTTTAACGGTTTTTTTTCTCTGGGGTACCGCTTAGTCTACGCATGACTATCGAACCTAGAATTTTAGACACTAAGTTTAGTAGTGTTTCATACCGACCTCCTTCTTATGTCCATCCAGTCGCAGATATTTGCATGCAAGAGTTACACTGTGATCGGAGTCTATGCAGGTGTTCCAAAAAGAGCGGCTGTCTACTGACGATCGCCTCCATCAACAGTTTATAGGTGCGTGATCCATTTGAGCTCATTGTTCATTTGGCAGTGTCGATTACCAGGCTCGTTTGGAGTTGGTGCTGGTGAGGAACAGATAGTTATTGAAACATCACTGTTGTCGACCCGTCAGCATGGGACTCCATGTCATGAGTATACTTACCCACTGGCACAACTACAGGCAGTACAGATGACGACATCAAATCCAACCAGGATGGCAAAAACAAGATAGGCTTTTATTACTCTGAAATCGATGTAGGGATATGTAGTACCCACCGCAAGAAACAACATCACGAATTTTTAATCCATTAATGGTTCTATCCAAGCATTATTGACAAAAAAGTAAGCAAGTACTCCTGCGAAGCGGCTTTTTCTGCAAATTCATTCTCGGTAGCTGTACAAGCACATTTACATACAGTGTTCACACAAATGAGGATAATAACAAAAGTTGTAAGTATCAATTAGTACACAAGATAAGTTGAGTAAGAGTACTACAGTTAGGTATCAGGGTAAATGGCCTAATTAGTGACTTTTAATCAGGAAGCACATCGAAACGAGGTGAAATGTGATATTACGCAAGATTTCGAATGAAATACAGGAGTTGAGACTAGTTGAGACGTAGTGGTTACCGTCTGCAAAGAGTTCGGCTATCGCACTTCTCACACACCCACTACTACCTTTCCACAACCATGAAGTGTAGTGTTATTGAAACCTTTTACAAAGAATGCGCGTCGAACGACCGACATACTTGGCTCCACAAGAAGTGGTGAACTGATACCTGCTCATAGAAGTGATCAGACGCCAGATCTTTTCTTTCAGGCTTCTGAAGATCCGTGAACGACTAGAGAACACTACTCAAAGCGTTTTAGCGAAGAATTTTCCTCCCAAAGACGTCGAAATTCTTCTCTTAAAGACATTACAGGTTAAGTCTTCCCCTAAATCAGGGCTCATCTAAGGTTTGTTGATCACGGATATCAGCTAGAGAACCATTGAAAACCAGGGAGTACTGGACACCTGTATCATCCTAGTTTGTTTATCATCAGCAGTACGCGTACCCACCACCAGGGTTCGAACCCATGACCTTCCGGTTACAAGGCCAGCAAGCTCGTATGCCATTCAGCCACTGGGACCCGTAAACGCGTAGCTGAACACTTCCCGGTTTGTTTAATAAATGGTGAGCACAGAACATAAAGTCTTCAAGTTGTGATCACATTCTAGAGTCAGCTTATTCAGCCCCGTGTGATTTATCCTCCAAAGTTATTTACAGGACCAAAGCCAACCACTCCAAAAGATTACTTTTTCTCCACTTAAGCATAGCCGAAGCTTTAGCTAAACATGAATTTTTTTTCCTTCACGTTCCCAGTGGAACATAGGGCTTCAAGCTAGTGGCTTGAAGTTTCTGTGGCGTTGGAGTTTATTTTTACAGAATGTGGTTGCTAGCCTCACTCCCAACCTTCCTTCTTTACCAGCATTATTTCTGGTTTAACGAGGTAAAGCAGTGCGTCAGCCGTGAATCGAACCCTGGATCATGTGCATGGTCGGCGAGCGTCCTAAGTGCTGTGCCACCGACGCTCAGCTATACATGGATAGAAACCTAAATTATCTATCGACAAACATCTATTTAAACCCCATTCTTTATCTTAGTCATAGTTATGTTCCTCTTATTTTATTTTTATTTGACTACTTTAATTCTTCACATTTCACTTCATCTTTGGCATCTTTTCTGTTATCATCATCATGACACTATTAATTTTTAGACAACACTTGACCTACTATTTTCACGTATTTAATAATCTTTAAAAGTCTTGTTAGTCATCCACTTGAACTCAACCCTCTTTGTACATCATTTTAATTATCTTTTTTCTTATCATATTTGCAATATTGACTGAGCAATTCTAGTGCCACTTAATGTCTTCTTTTTCAGTAGTGTAAATACGACTGTACAGATTGAAAATGAAGTCGTTGAAAAGAGATATTATTTCTTCTCTGAACAAAAAACTATGCTTTTCCTTTCATATTACTCTGAAATACTTACTGAAAACATTCAACGAAATTAGATGTTTGAATTTGTCTTTATCATAATGGAATCCTGGCTTAGGCACTGTACGTACTTACAGTAAATGAATCCAACCTTCGAACTCCTTGTCACCGACTTTCAGCTTACACAGCTAGACAGTACTTATAATCCCCCCCACACACACACACAAAATAATAAATGTGGTCCATAAACCGATTCATACAAAGACAAAATCTGTTTCTCAGGATTGCTTAGCACTAAATAAATCGTTTAATAGTTCACTCAATAAGCACAGTTCTGTATACTTTATTTATTTGTCTTATTTAAGGCTTTTACAGGAATTCAAACTTATCAATATTAGTTTAAGACGCAGTCGTAAAAATGTATAGTCGTAACGTCGTTGACTGCTGTTGGATAGTAGTAACGGTAGCAGCTGTTAATTCATTTCATTTGAATTAATTTCATTAGAGAGAAAATAACAAGAAGTTCTCGATAATGTCCTGATGGGTATTTTCCACGATTTAATTACATTACTAGAAAAATACATTTTTATTTTGAAGGAGGAGTTTGTTCAGATAGAGAGACCAGTGTTGAAGTGGTGTTCAATTATCTCACTCCTTATACAGTCACTATTACTATTACTACCACGTTTCTGAAATCATGCAGCACAGTATTCTTCAAACCCTTTTACACAGGATACTTGTCAAACGACCAATATACCCGGCTTCATAGGAACCGGTGAATTCATATATGGACATGAAAGTGGTCAAATGAGAGATGTAGTGTTCTCTCAGGCTTCTTCTACAGACTAGCGAACGATTGATGAACACTACTCATAACGTTGTGATGAAGAAATTTCTTCTCGAATATAATGAAATTGTTTCCTTAATGACATCGCGGGTTAAGTCTCCTTTGAAATCCAGGTCCATGTAAAGCAGTATGTTTTTCGATACAAATGATGTCTCATTTATCTGAACTTTTCGTGTGATATTCATGTCAATAAATCTCAGTGGATATCGATTTTCAATGAAGAAGGTGGGATTTTTCTTCAACCATGTCAGGGCTACAAATATATAGGATGAGAGTGGATGGAATTAAATTTTTTTCGTTAAAACTGGCGCCCGATTGTAAAAACTTGTCAGTTGACCTGTTGAACGAAAACGAAATCCAGTTAAATGTCTTGCCACTCGCATCTGTAGTCCTGACGTTCTAGAGAAGGAATTAGAACTTCTGAAAGAAGTCTTCATTCAATTTAGATACTTACTGATATCTATCAATTCAACTGCGCTTCTAGAGCCAGTTATATTGGCCGTTGCTCTAGGAACTTGATTTTTCGTGCTCACTCGAGAACATCTCCCACTATGACTAAGTAAAGGTGTAGTTAAAACCATCAACAGTTCGATATTGGACCATCTGGTGCAAACCGGCCACAAAGCCAGCCAGCCAGTGTAGAAGAATCCTTCTCTATAATCTACTGGGTGCGTAATAAATTGCCAAAATCATCGAAGCACTACATAATTCAAACAGCAGAGGCTATTGCAATTCGCTTCAAACAACCAGCTCTCTGTGTTCAGAAGAAGCAAGTCTAGTCCCTACGTTTGCCCTGGCCTTCAATAAAAACTATAAACTCATGAATTTGTAATATCATCTTTCCTAATTTTTCTGACATTCAGCTTATTTTATGTTGATGGTATTCAACTGTAATCCATCAATATTATTGATTCGATGTTATTTAAACAGCAACATTAATGTTGTTCATACCACTAACTCATTCATTCATTCACTATAATGTGTATATATAACTGTAGAGCCTGATGATGAAAGGGTTATCGAAAAGAGTACTTTTTTGTTCAGTATCCATTCTTTTGAAAATTTTAATGGGCATTTTTTAATCAGTTAAAATATTTGTACTCATTTTTGAGCAGTATATTATCACATGCCTTTATTTTCTTCTTTTTTCGATTGTAGATTACTTTGTAAATCAGGTGAAAGAAATTATCAATCATTTTAATTTAATAGAATCTGCACTTACTGAAAATTGGTTTGATGAAAAAGGTAACAAGAATTTCTCTCACGTAAATATATGATAAATCGTCTTTATACACTATTGGTTGGTGCATAATGAAGTCAGAATTAGGCTTGAGAGAGAGAGAGGTCAGTCAGTCACTACCTGAATGAATGAAGAAATCTTACTCAACAAACACTCGCTATTTTATGCAGCTGACAGTGTGCCTTGCCTATTATAGTAAGCGTAGTGCAACTATCTGGCTGTCCAGACTTCGATAGATGGGTTTAGGGTTCGAACTCGTTGACCCAGTCAATGGGATTCAAACATCTAAACTACTGAGCCACAGCTCCACAGTCGATAGCTACTGTAACTGATGAATGACTCCAGTGGTATTTAAATACTGTGGAGACAGTTTACTGTGTGCATTAACTGAGGTTCTAGGCAGCGTCTGGGAATCAGAGGAAGTCCCATCGGGTTGGTGTAAGTCACTGATTATCCCCATATACAAGAAGGGAGACAAGTCTTCCTGTGATTAGCTTGATTAATATAGTATCTGACGTCCCAGGCTCAATAATCATGCGTAGACTAAGTGGTGCTCGGGAGGCACAAACACGAGAGAACCAGGCAGGCTTTAGGCCAGGAAGAGGGTGTATTGATCATATCTTCACTCTCCGACAGATTCTAGAACATAGGGATTCTTACCATCGCCCAACAATCACTATATTCCTTGACCTAAAGGCGGAATTCGATTCTATCGACCGAGAGGTTCTCTGGAGATGCTTGGCTGTAAAGGGAATGCCGAGAAAATACATTGCACTAATTAAGGCACTCTACTCGTACTCATATAGCCAGGTGAGGGCTTACGGCGAGTTGTCATCTGAACTGGTGACGACTAGTGGTGTCCATCAAGGATGCCCATTATCCCCTTTTCTATTCAACTTCATCATAGATACGTTAATAGACTTAACCCTAAGTGACTTCAACGATTCAGTGATTGACTTGCTACCAGGGAATAATCTCGTTGACTTAGAATATGCAGACGATATAGTCCTTCCAGGCGAAGACGCTGACAAAATGCATAGTCTTCTGAACACCTTGAGCAGCAATCTACTAATGTTTGGCATGAGATTCGCTCCCGCCAAATGCAAGATGATGTTACAGGACTGGACTGCAGCGACTCCTAGATTAGAAATAGGAAGTGAAGTGGTAGAGCACGTTGACCACTTACGTATGTCTAGTCGTCGCCTTCCTCGACGGGTAGTGTTAGCTAACATAGGGTCAGGCTGGAAAAGAGCTAGTGGAGGTCAAACAAAAACATGGATTCACCAGTCAATGAAATCTACAACAGTTAGTTTAAGCCGGCCACGTAGGAAAGTGAAGACTTCCTGACTGGTTGGGGTCCTCGGGACGGTAAAAACCAATGGTTGGCGACGTTCGGTAATATGGCTCCAAATCGTTCTCAATGGCTGGTGCAGATCCGTCCACTCCTTGTGACTTATGATTTCCAATTAAACTATGTTCTTCTTCGTTACTACTATTCTTTTGTCTCATACCTCTGTTTACTGTCTCTATTATGCCTTTCTTGTACTTTCCTCTCTTACTTTGTGTGCTACATGGAGTGTGGCGACTTGAACTGCCGCACATATGTACAAAGTTCTATGTCGAAAACAGACAGACAGACTGTAACTGATATGTTTCACCCATACTGATTTATTGTTTCCCTCAGAAAAGAGGTGTATTATCTGATTTTTAGGATAAGGCTACGAAAAGTTTTCAATTCTTGGATCAACTCGTATAAATTGTCGGAGTGCCTATTCATGAAGTCTCTTACTGATAGTTTACTGAGGAAAGTGAATTTTTTTCGACAATCTCCGTGAAATAGTTCAAAATCGTTTAAATTCACTCAGATATATTTCACTCTTCAGCACAATCGAAATTGTGAACATTCTCACTGATCTTCAACTCACTATTTCCCTTTTTACACACAAGTCTTACTATTTTTAGTATCGTTTTTGTATTTTTTTTGTCGGATTCTTTTTGAGGCGATCAGATTATATCCCCTTCAAATGACTCAAAATGCTTTACTGATTTACTGGTTGACCTTTGATTGGTTTATTCATTCACTTTTCTATAGTTGAGTTTTGGGTTCAAATCGTGTCCCATTTAATCTATCTTAAGCAAGGACACATATTATTAGATGTCACTGGATATACGCACCGAGTGTTTCTCACATCATAGTAACCCAAAAAAAGACAGTTGTTGTAAGTAATGAAGTAGTATGACTTATAGAAATTTCTGACAAATTTACTTATGAACTAAATAAGCTATTATTATTATTGTTATTGTTGTTGTTGTCAGGAAAATTGTATTAACTCAACGTTTCATAAATTAATAAAATATCAATGAGTTCTTACGAACAGTCTACTCTGTACCATTGTTTAATGTTTATTCCCATTTGTGAGCATGCTGTACGATTAACTTTTTGATTGGACACTAGTAACTAGTGTGACGTGTCTAGTCCTTTCTTCGGTGCAGACTGAATTCTATCAGTCAGGTTTCCTGCCTATTGCCTCCAACTATTTAATATCATCAAATCAATATACACCATGATGATGAGCTCCTTAGGATGGTGACCACATTGCAAAACGTGACTGATAGAATTCACTATGCACCAAAGAAAGGACTAGACACGTCACACTAGTTACTAGTATCCAATGAAAATATCCACTACAGGAGGTCGATCGCGACCCCGAATAGCTCAGTGATAACGTCTCTGACTGCAGCACTCACTGAGTGACGCGGATTCAAATCTCAGAAGAGAAATGAGTTCCTTCAGGGTTGCAGATTCGCTTTGCTGATGAGTCCCAACTAGCATTAAACCTAGGTTCAAGGCTTCCTGTGGCCGATTACCTCAAACTATTTAATACGATTAACTGATGTTGTGTGATGAATTCAAATATGAAATTACCCAGTGTGACAGTTAAGGTAGTTACTAATGGACATCTCCCATCAGACTCTTGAGTGGAATCGCAATGGGAAGCGTTGAGTGGGTCGTCGGTGCAAGGGTGACATGGAGGAGATCTTGCAATGAGGAGCAGATGAGAGATTATGGGTAATCGTGTACCCTAGCTGGAGAGGACAGCAGCAAATAGAAGAGAGTAGAGATGTGTTATCGAAGCTCTATGTTTCACTCGAAACCTAAGGGAATAATAATAATAATAGCGGGCTACCACAGTTCATCGTTGTACTTTAATGAGAACTTTTAAGATACATTTAGTTCACTTAAGCTAGAAAGACAATAGTTTCCGAAATTTCTCATATTATTGCGCCAGTAGGTTTCATATTATTAAATATGAATAAATAAATAAATAAATAAAACTATTAATTTTAACTATAGTGCGTATGTCTTGTTTGTTTTTTGTTTTTGTATTTTTTTTTCATTTAAAAGGATTTTATCAGATTCCATTTCATATGACTCAGTTTACATCTCAGCTATCTGTATTATCTCTTTATTCTAAATCAATATCTCAGTCAAAAGATGATAACGACTGCTCATACGGTAAGTCGAGTAGTAGTAGTAATAGTAGTATTATAACAGCTATTTTTCTTTTAATTGTGACTGTGTGACTATGCTCACCAACCAACACCTGTGGTCTGAGTTGTAAAGTCGATGGTAAGCTCCGTAAAAAAAAAGGAAAATTGGGCGTTAGCCACTCCGGCCGGTAAAAAAAGGAACCCACCGCAACTGAAATTTCAAACATCAAGCTGGGAACTCAAAAGAATGAAAAACCGACAGTTTTCTTACCGATTAAAAATAAAAATTGATTCACATTTTGTAGAGATAAAATTATTTTTTTTTTAGGGAATTCTTCTGATCAGTATCATCGAAAATAATTCTTTAGAGTAATTTCATAAGCTGTTTTCAAGGAAAATCTAAATTTGCAGGTGAGGGGGAGGCAAGACTACTGATATGATAATACCAAGAATGTGGGATAATTTTTTTCTAATAATAATAATTTACTTTATTCCAAAAACAGTACTTGTGATACAGAATGGAATTTTCGGCATTCATCACAATATTGCATCTAATTTCTTCAAATTATAAATAAAATTAATCACGCACAAAATTTTCCACATTTACAATAGTGATAATGTCAAAAACATGCAGCATATAAAATGGAAATAGCAATAATAATGATAACAGCTAAGTTGATAATAATAACACAAGTGAAAATTGCCGTGGGCTTGTTTCACACAGTATTGTCGATCCGATATAGATATCCTAGTATGTTTAGAAATATTGAATATAATGTTCTCTTTGCATGATATGGTGAGGGGAAAAACAAAGATTACAACAGTCATAGAGATAAGCTGGTGTTTGCAATTATGAGAGTAAAACAGAGAATTAACAGGACCATAAATATAATAGAAATAATAAAAGTAAAACTTGAAGGTATATAAGGATGGATGGAGGAAATTGTTTATTTACTAGATGAAAAAAGGTTAGTTAATTCTTGCCTGACACTATTTTCATCACATGAAATACGTGCCAAGTATGGTATCATAGAATTTTTATACTTAGACGTGCGACCATACAGTTTTCTGCAGTTACTTCTTGTTCTACCTGAGGAGATGCAAGGTGAAATCTGAGGGTAAAGTGGATGCTCCAAGCCAGACAAAATCCCTTTAGCAAATTTATTGCACGAAGTCAAGTGCCTATTGACAACGATGTTAACTATGTGGTCCACTTGGAACGGCACTCACCCTACTGACCGTCTTCAGCATTCTACGAATTGTGACATAGTCCTTTTTAAGCAAACCAGGAAAGAATAAGGGTGAACAATAAAGAAGAATAGGTAGGATGCAAGAGTTTATGAACTGTAAGAGGAGGGGTTGAGTTATACCTGAGTGCCTTAACTTCCTAATGTAAAATGTCAGGCGGAATATTTTACTGGAGATCGCTAAGACATGGGAAGACCATGAGAGATCAGAAGGAAGAATAAGTCCAAGATACTTAATTTCTGATTTGATTCCAATATGATTGTCGTGAATCTTGCAACTTTCATGAGAATCGACGACTTCTTTTACTTATCTTTTACATATTAAGCTGAAATTAACAGTTTGACATTAAGAAGGATTCCATTTAAGACCGTTAGACTCAGATAATTTACTGACTCTCAACAGAAAGCTATTTATTCGGGTACAATCTAGCTGGGAGTTAACTGTTTTTAAATCAGTTTTTTATTAGTTATGCGATAAACATAAGATACTACTTAGTAATAGTAGTAGTAGTAATGGTCAATCGATCTTGTTTATTGATTTAATTATTGTTTACAAATAAACCACCAGGCTTTTGTTGACTTGAAATCCTATACCGCTACAAAAAGACTCATGAGTCGTAGATCTACACTGTTGAAAATTCCCAAACTAGGATTTCGTTCAAAATTATTATTATTCTTCTAGCCAATATCGATACAAAATCAGCTATAGTTCTGTATCACGAAAGGATAAAAGTCAAAATTCACAGTCTGTTGAATTCTCACCTAGTTGGATGCTTGGATAAAAAACGAGCTGACTTTGTGGCGTGAATGTTAAGGATTCTGTCCTTTCTGGGGTCATGGACAAGAACTGGTAGAGAGCCCTAAGTTTGAACTAACTGGGTCTCTAGTGCTCCCTGATTTCCAATGATTCTCTAATTCATTTTGCTTCATGACGAAATCTACATGAAGTTTATTCGGTTAATATTTCTTTTCTCTCATTACAGATTATCTACACAATTTTGATTTAATTCAAACTGAGTTTATCAAATTACTGAGCGTATTACACTCGGACAATAAAAAGAATGATGAATGTGTAACTAGTGTAAACTCTATCAATAATGAGAAAAATAATCACTTTGATCAGATCAAAGAATATTTGTCTAGAATAAATCAATATTTAAAAGATACTTTTGAAAAAGCCACAGGTACATTAAAATGTTCACCTAATGATATGAATTCTTCAAGTGATTCAATACAAAAAGAGATGGAATCAACTTTTGAGGCTATTTCAGTTGCTGAGAAAAGATTTCATGTAAGCTTCATTTTGTTTCAATGAAACAACTTTTGAAATCATTCCATGAGATTATCGCAGAGAAGAGTAGAAATCAATGATGATTATTCTCTAGGTGGTACGCTTAAAAATGTAAAACAGATACTCTTATTTTTCAAGGATTGTGTTTGATTATATGGAGGATTTCATCATGAGCTGACATCAGTTAGAGAACCATTGGAAAACTAGCTGGGAGTACTGGACAGCTATTTCATCAGCCTAGTTTGGGTTTCTTCATCAGTAATCACCCACTTGCGTTCAAACCCAGGACCTTCTGGTTACAAGGCGACCTCGTAGACCATTTAGCCCCTGAGACCCGATCCAATGGTCATTAAGTTCTACCTTCTGCCGATTCACGACATACCGCGACCATTTCGCAATGTCTTCTTCGATGAGTTGCTGCCTCATTTTCAACCTGAAATTCTCCATGCAATCCAACAAAATCCCCACAAAACCAATACTTGAAAATTAATCTGATGCTCACTAGCGACTGGCCCTATTCAGGCAGTTAACTTGGGGTTCTAGTGGGAAGCTGTGACCAGTAGGGTACAGAAGGTTGAAGATGAGGCGGTAACTGATAGGAGAAGACATTGCGAAACGGTCGCTATATGTCGTGAATTGGCAGAAGTTAGAATTCACGGGCCATTGGATCGGGTCCCAGTGGCTTAGTGGTCTACGAGCTCGCCTTGTAACCAGAAGGTCCTTGGTTTGAGCCTGCTGTTGGCGGGTGCGTACCGATGAAGAGTCCCAAACTAGGCTGATGAAATAGCTGTCCAGTACTCCCAGCTAGTTCTCCAATGGTTCTCTAACTGATGTCAGCTCATGATGAAATCCTTCATGAGATACTCTTATCGCTTATTTTTGACTGAGTATGTTTCAGCACAGAACTTTGTAGGGATTGATAACAGTTCAAGTTGCCACACTCCGTGTAGCACAAAAAGGTTGAGAAAAAAAAAGACATTCAAAAAAACTATAATGAGCAGAAGCGTACGTTAGAAAGAATAGTAGCTTGAAAAAACCAGAAGGTTTTCTTGGATACGGGAGGGTTAGGGTGTGAATTCTTCTGCACTATTGAGAAAGATTTTGAGCTATATCACTAATAGTCTCCAGAAATTGGTTCTTAATATCCCAACCATGCAGTCCTTACCTCTTTCCCTATGTGGGTGACTCAAATCAATTGTCAAAGACTTCATGGATTGATGTCAGGACTTAGTTTGACCACGCTTAACTCTTTCCCAGCTCAATCCTATATCAATTAGCATTGCTCATCAAGCTTAGCTACAGCTCGGTATGCTTAACACCATGTCCTAGCCATCCTAATCGATTCATTCTCACAAACTCTTCAATTGCCTTACTTACTCTTCCTGACTAACCTTCTACTTCTAATCTCATCACTGCGAGATATCGAAAGTAGACATCTTTGGTCAAAGACAGTTATCATCTTCAAATCTTTTACTTTCAGTGACATCATACAGCTATAAAGAGGGACAGAGTGAAATGTAGTGCAGTAAACACGTCCCTTGATCGATAGTCCGATATCACATCTACGCTGGAGATGATGTAAGTTGTTAAATGTCACAAAAGCATTTTGTATCCGTCCTGAGATATCTTCAGAGATCAGCACATTAGTGTTGGTGCAACTTCCCATATAAGTGAAGGGGTCAACACGCTCTCCTCTTTCATTCCCTATCTCTATTTAAACAGATTATTTAAATATTTTTGTATTGAATTCATCTTATCACTTATTTTCTCGGTTTGTCTGTCTGTTTTGTAAGATATTTTTGTATGCTACAGAGCATTATTATTTTTGGTTTGCATGTTTCATACAACATTGTAATGTATTTAAGTCATTTGTACTGAAACAGTTTACTCAAAATAAATGGTTACTGAATATTCTTTTCGATAACCTTTTCTTCATCAGGTTCTACAGTTATATAGACATTATAATCAATGGACTACATTACGAATAGCATCAATATAACAGTGCATACTGAATATCAGACAGGCAAATTAGGAAAGATAATAATAATACAAATTCATCAATTTATGGTCTTCGCTGAAAGCCGGCTGGACTTGTTTCTTCTGCACACATAGCACCAGTTGTTTAATGCGAATAGCGGTGGCCTCTGCTTTCTGGAGTATGCGGCACCTGGATGTTTTTTGCAATTTGTTTGGTAGTCGATAGATGGTGAAAGAGAAGGATTCTTCAATGCTGGCTGGCTTTATATATATATATATATATAATTTCTTTTTATGAATGATGTTTTGGATTTAACTGAATTTTAGATTTTCCCGTCGATTGATTGGGTGGAAGTGCTCGGTCTTATGTTGACATGTCGGCTTCTTGTGCAGATGCTTCGATGATGTTTGGGCATGCAATTAGAATTTAATTGGTGGATGGTGACTAGCAGTGGAATCCAGGGCGCGCATTTTGTCCTATTTGCGACTCGTCAGCTGGATTTACTTGCATTTCCCAGTGAGTGATGATGCTCCCACCGAGGCTGCATCTGCAGCATCTGCACAAGAAGCACTTCGGTCCAATCAATCGACTGGAAGATCTAAAATTCAGTTAAATAATTAATATGACCCGTTGCACAAGAGGTGGCTCTCGTGGCCCAAGTGGTCCAGTGGATAACGCTTTGGCATTTGAAACGATGGGCACTGGGTTCGTGCCTCGGTGGGGACATCATTACTCACTGGGAAGTGCAGGCACATCTAGCTGACGAGTCCCAAGTAGGACGAGATGATCATCCTGGATTCTATTGCTAGTCACCATCCACAAATTAAATTAAGATAATTTGAATTGTTTCTAAAGTATTAGCGATTCCAACCGTAGTTAAACATCAACCAAAAACAGGATAGGTAATTTAATTTATAAAATACTTCATGGATTGTTTAAGTTATAGTACGCGATGTAGAATAAGTGCGATTAGTCGACATGAAGGTAAGAATTTCGATGAGACAACATTGTTCAACATTATCGTAAATTCAGAAAATAAAGAGGAACGGAAATTGTTCACAGTGAATGATAATAGTAATAATAATAATAATAACAATGGAAATAATAAGGAATGGATATACAGATTGAATACACAAAACGAAAAGATACTTAGGATCAAAGTAAGGATAGGAATTATTAGAGTTTAGTATAGGCTGATTATGACCATGAAAAAAGGAGAGGTCGAACAAACTTCTTCTGTAGACACACAGCTCTGCCCTCTATGTTTAGATGACTGAATCTTCAATTATCCTCATGAATCCTACAGACGCGTAATGATTTTAGCAGTTTATTTTCGGTTCATAGATAACTTTAAAAGAAGACGTGTTTGCCAGCGATAAGATGACTAGCGTCGACCAAATACTCAGATACATCATACTTCTTATAGCCACACTCCTATCTATTTATAACCACTCAAGATAGTGTTTTTCTACCTATTTTCTTTTAAATTGGCTGAAAAGAGTCTGCTCCTCTGAATCGCTTGTTTTGATTTATTGTTACTATTATTATCATTATTATTATTATTAAACCGGAGGAGTACATTAAACGATACTGTCTTTACTTGTTCAGGTCAATTTTGTATTTCCCGTTGACTGATTGAATTGGTCTCTGTTGACATGTTGGCTGAAAGCACAGATGTTTTGACAATATTTGAGGATTAACTTGATGATATTTGGCAAATGATGATTAGCAGTGCGCATCCTGGATTCTACTGCTAGTCGCCATCCACCGGATACTGTCTTCATTTGCATTTTTATCTATAAATAATCTAATGAAATAATTTTAGTAGGCGAATGTCAAGGAAATTAACTCTAAATTCCTATAACTTGCGAAGACGCTCCGAATCGATAATTACTAGGAACGATTATTGACTTTAACTCTAAAACACCAGGACTTGCAACAAGAAATTATATTCTTCAGTAGTTAAATTCGAAATCATTACAAAGTCTATAAACAGATGTTTTACAAATAAATATAATGTACTTTTATTCGTATTCTTTCGTCTTCTTCCAACTTGTACACGATTGAACCATTCGCGCCTTCGAGTTGCCCGCAAATGGCTACCAGTTCCAATAAATAAACGTTCAATGTTCGCGTCCATTTACAGCAAATATTGCCAATACAGTAATGTGGCATTAAAACATAAGAGTCTACACTGGTATGCGGTACTCTGAGGGAAAAAATAACCGTCGACGTTGAGTAGAAAAACGAAAAGATTCTACTACACCGTACACCGTTTCAACTTTGCATAGAAGTGCAGCAGTTTGAGATTCAAGATAACGATAATAAGCAGAAATGTAAAAGTGAAAGAACAGTAACGTGGAAAAACAATAAGGCTTTATTGGTTATGGGAGATCACAAAGAGTGAATACTTCTGCACCATTGAGAAATATTTTGGACCATATCCATCAACTGTCTCCAGCCAATTGGTTTTTTCCATCCCGAGGACCCCAACCAAGTAGTCTACTTCTGCCTCAGACTAACTGTTAAAGATTTCATGAGCTTATTGCAAGTTTTAGTTTGACTGCCACTAGCTGTTTTCCATTCTAATCCAATGTCAGCCAACATTGCTCATCATATAAGGCGATACTTAGGCGTTATACCTCAGTCAGCGTAGTTTCACAACCTCATTGATTGATTTCTCCTCCTTACCTAACACTCTACGCCCAACCTCAACATTACTCACCCTAATATATACCACCTAACATAGGAAACAGAATGGAGACACTTGTGATCAAAGACAGCTAGTCTTTTCATGTCTTCCACTTTCGATAGCCATCTCTGATAGCCATTTAGAAACAAGTGGGACAAATATCTCTTTCATAATTCACGTATAAAGTACAGCTGAATGATAATGAAATTGCTTACGTAAGAGTTTTTAACTGGAATGAAACAGTTACTCAAACCTTTTTGCAGATAAGAAGTATCCACTGACATTGAAGTTATTTTTCGACTTCCCCGCTCCCCCCTCTTTTTAACCGTGCACAAAATGCAAGAGAAATATACTGAGAAATCATAGTTAGGCAATGTTAATAGGGGAATTGATAGATTGTCTATTTGTTGTGTCACCGAACGAACCATTATTTCCTATTACGACAGGAGCTAAGAGAATTGGTAGCGGAATTTTTTATTAGGGAAAAACGTACCATATATTAATCTTTTTTATATTTTGATTATAGCTTGACTCCGCACCGTATTTTCGGTACAAGTATAGAATTTTCAGCATGTTATATTGGCAGCCCAATTTTGCAGGCTGACCATTGATATATGGGGTGTGCGTCTGCAGGAGGATCGAACCCCGAACCATGTGCATGGTTGGCGAGAGTCCTAACCGCTGTGCCACTGACGCACATACATATCTAGCTATATTCAAGTTCAGCAAGGTTAAAGGAGAATAGATTGTTCTGATTGGTTGGCGATTGGCCCAAGATTAAACAGTGAGACGTAAAAAAAATGGCCAGTTAGACTATTTCACGTTCACGTCATAAACTAGATCCAGATTTGATGAATAAACACTTCCACCTCTGCAGTTGTTGACCTAAAATGTTGATTTCAATTTCGGTCATTTCGTATGAATCTGCATCTATATACTACTTATAAATCTCGTCAGCAGAACACACCACACTTATATCGTTTTTGTGGACTGTATAGATTATTTCATATTAAGTACTTCTTCAGCTTATGCACATATAAATATATATATGCTTTTTATTCTAATTTTATAGGATTTAATTGCGGAATCTAAGCAGCGCTCAGCGAACAATGAGTATCTTCAAGTGAATTCATTGATATTAGATTGTTGTTCTGACCTCCTGTTATGCGTTGGTGAATTAGTTAAGCAGTCTGAAATGATTCAACAAGATATTAAAGTATGTTCTTTTTGTTTACATTTCGCTCATCATAACTACTAAAACGTAAAATACCAATATCACTGAAGATTATTCGCTTTATGGTAGCCATTATTATTATTATTATTGTTCCCTTGGGTTCCTAGTGGAACATAGGGCTTCAAATGCACGTCTCCACTTGCCACTTCTGTCTTCCCTCTGCTGTACTTTTCACCTGCATACATGTTAGTCCATACTGTTTCAACTCCTCTTCACACGATCTCCTCCATGTCACCCTTACACTGACGACCCACTCGCCGCTTCTTCTTCGGCCCCGTTCCACTCGAGCAATGGCCTGACGCGCACGCGATCTCACCAAGCCGCCTCCTCAGCGAGGCAGTGTCCAATCCATCTCCACTTTCTCCTGCATATTTGTTGGTTGGCGATTGGTTCTTGTCTTGTTTCGTTTGTTCCCATAGTTGGTGATTCTTTCCGACGCGGCCATCTGATCTTCAGTTCAGTATAGAGCCAGCGAAGACCGTTGTTGGTTGATAAAGGCCTGCAACAGGCTGTTGGAAATACCTGTTCTTTGTGACCCGCCCGCCAAGTTTCTGATCCGTTCGGTATAGAAGAGCTGACTGACTTGACGTTTGTATTGAAAATCCGACCGAATTTTGTTGTTGATGCTGGCTGAGTGACGAAGATTTCCAGATTGGTTTCAGGTTGGTGGTGAATGTGTTTCTCACTCGCCTTCCCGATTCTCGCTCGATTTGACATCCTCTTCCATTCCTCCTGTAGTTGAGGCAATGCTCCCTAGATAAGTGAGTGAATGAAGTAACCTCTTTCAAATCCCCCCGTTGATGGTGATTGGCACTGGATGTTGGTGCTGTTGTTGTTGTTGGTTGGTTGATTATTTTCATCACCTCCGTCTTGTCTATGTTCACTTGGAGTCCTGTCTTCGCCGGCTGCTTCTTCGACCAGTTTGTCGATTTTCGCTTGTAGGTCTTCGATTTTGTGTGACATCAAACATAAATCATCCACGCGGAAAATCCAGGTCTTCTTGGTACTTAACGTCGGTCGGTCCAGAATATCCCTGTCTTCTCGTTTCCCACCGTCTGACGCATAACCCAGTCAGTCCACCACAATTAGGGAAATCATTGGTGATAATCAGCACCCTTGTCTCACTCCTGTGTTTACTCCAAACGCCTCGCTGAGTTTTCCGTTGTGGAGTAAGTAACCTGATAATCTATGTGGTGAATGCTATTAATCATCCCCCCATATGGTTGATACTTTTTCCTAGCTTTTATCTAAATATAATGAGATAACTATGAAAGTATGGATTCATTGCAAACAGAATTTTCTTCCTTCGAATTTCAACCTAGATTCTTAGTATAAAAACAATACGATGTTGTTTACAGGATTTCATCATGAGCTGACATTAATTAGAGAACCGTTGGAGAATCTGGGTGTGCTGTTCAGCTGTTTCGTCCTTATTTGGGACTCTTCATCAGTATGCATCCACCGGGGTTCGAACCCATACTGAGTCATATCGTCACATTTAATAAGGAGTTGTGCAGTATTTCGTATTCTTCTAATAATAATATTAGTAGTATTGTGGGGAAAGGTGTCTGAAAGCCGAAATTGTCGACAACAATTTACGTCAATGTTTACGTCCCAAATCGGGGTTATGAGAAAAAAACAATAACAAAGCTTAACTTTCAGGAACTCAACAACCAATCACAGCAGACCTAACGTGTGCAAATACGATTCGCAGATATATGGCTTAACTTTCTAAGAAACGGTCACAAGCAATACAGAATAACCTTCAACAAGAAAACAACCAATCAGAAGACGTTGCTTCTCCGCTGACAATAATGTACATAAAATCTATAAATATTTGTTGATTTTCTCAATAAACGATCCGTTTCCTGGTCCTTGCCTTCGGTCGTTACAATACTTCTTAAGTCAAGCACCAATCACCATCAACAGGAGAAATCCAAGGGAAATTCTCTTTTCTTCACTTACTTCGGTGGCGTCGTTTCAGCTACAGATAGCACAGACGTCAGCGTCAGAGCCAGGATCGTTACTCTGAAGTCAATGTGGAAATATACGGTATTTCGCATCAGGAACAATATCCTAACTGTTAACATTAATGTAAAATCAGCGCTCCTATATGATTCAGAGACTTAACGAGTTATGAAAGGCATTCTCAACAGGCTGCAGACTTTTTATTAATAGCTAACTTCACTCGGTACTGAAGATTAGAATATCAGAAAGGATAAGCGATAAGGAACTCTGGGAACGAACCATCCAGGAACCTATTGAAAATGGCTTGGAAATACACTGAAGATACCGTTGAGTAACATCCCACGCTAGACTCTCAAATATAACCCTATTAAGAAGCAATGAATTGGGTTTCGATATCACGGTGAAAGATTATGAGCAATCTAGGAAGCCAGCTGCTAAAGAAGATTACAAGAGAACAGAGTAGAATGGAGATATGCTGTGAAAAGCCCTGGATTCCACTAGGAACCTAAAGACACGAATTACAACAACAATAACTCAACTCAAAGTATACCTGTGAAGATGGCGGTTAAGAGTGTAGATTTGAATAAGCATAGTTTCTATTTTCTCAAGAAAATGCAGAGTGCTTTATATCGTTTCTCTGCCAGTTACATTGAATTAGACACACATATCTCTTTTTCTCTGTGATCCGATATTTCCTTATTTATTATTTTAAGACTATATATATATATATATATCAAGTTAATAACTTAACTAGTTTACCATACAATACGTCATTCCGATGTTTTATTTATTTTTATTTTTCATATCTATAAGGATTCATCAACATTAAGTGAATTTTACAAACCTCATAATCGTTGGACAAATGGTCTGTTATCTGCTGCAAAATGTGTTGGTGCTGGAGCTAATGTGATGGTGTGAGTACTTTTTTGTTTTGTTTTTCTAAAAAATCATTGTTGTGCAATATCTTTTCTGGCTAACGTTATTATCTTTGATATTTCAATTTTGATTATTTCTCTGAAGAAGAAGTTAGAACCAGTCTGCTAATTTAAAGGTTTGGAATTATTATTAATTTTAATTTCATTGTTGTTCACACAAATATATTGTTGATATGTATCCACATGATATGTGTGTTTGTTTTTGACAGTCTGTTATATTTTGCTATGTGTATATGGATCGATATTTCATTGTAACTGACAATATGCTTTTGTCTGTCCACTAACTAAACAAACATGTATGACCTTGTTATCATATGACACTACAACCAATCATGGTAAGATGACTGTCTATTGGATCATGTGTATTAGCCATTTTCATATATACTTTGCATTGTACACTTTATATATAGTTCTTGTTCTCACGTTCGTACATTCGTACCATTCCACTCACACACTTGTGTGACATTTATTTTGCCTTGTCTGGAAAAAACAAGTATCATCGTAAACCTGGTGGTCTTCTGATTTCCCTCTTTCCGCGTCAGGACTAGTAACTACTCGACGAGTGCATAACAACTGTGCATCGGTGGTGTCTAGCTGTAGGAGGCTCGTCAACCATTCCACAAGTGGTCTAGGGTTCCATCCCCCACCGATGCACTCCTAGACCTCGCTAAGCTGGCAGTAAGGCTGGTCAAAAAAGGAGGTTGGGTTTTGGTGGGTCTAACAACCCTACCCCATAAAAATAAAACACCCACTACTACCGAAACTTCAGAGTTCTAGGTTGAAACCCCATGTTCCACTCGGAAGGTAAAGAAATAAAATAAATAATAAATGACACAAATATATATATATATATATATATATATATTTCATTTGTCTGCTTCTTGCTTGGCGACCAGTGTTTATGAAACTGTTCGACAAATCTTGATCATAGTTATTATCTGTTATATGATACTGGTGCAGTGTTTTGATGTAGTGCGCATCTCAGCCCACATATATTTCTATATTCATTCCTCAATAAGACAAAATATTTAAATGAAGTACACAAAATGCGCGAAGGGTATAAAATTTCTAAAGCAAATAATCTGATATTTACACACACGGAATGCTTGACTTTGCTTGTTGTTTTCCATGCTTGTTGTAGATTAGCAAAATAAAAGAGGCCAGTAGTAACTGGGGTGTGTTGTGATTATTTTTTGTTCGCCTAAATCCTGACGCTCGCCGACAATGCATATGGTCCGGGGTTCGACCCTCGGCCGGCGCACTCCTTTATCTCACTGAGCCAGAAATAATGCTGGTAAAGAGGAAAGGTTGGGCATGAGGCTAGCAACCCCATCCTGTAAAAATAAACACTGCTACAGAAACTTCAAGCCACTAGCTTGGAGCCCTATGTTCCACTGGGAACGTGAAAGAAAAAAAAATCCTGACTTACCATGTTAAGGCATATTGCCAAATTTTTAAAGACAAACAAATTTATTAGTAAACTAGAATCTAGACATACATATATTCGCAGTATATGTATCGTATTACCACAAGTCAAAATTCAGTGTTCTGATCTATATTGAAAAATACATTGTCAGACGCATAGGCTTACGTACAAGAATCACAAGAGCATAAATTACGTAAGCATGAATTAGAGATTTAACCTGAAAAAGTCATTGAAATATTTGTAGTTAAATAATCTTTCGTTTTTTATAAATGGTGAGGTATACAGTAAATAGTAAGAGTCAGTGGTCTATAAACATGTACATCATAAACTGATTACTTGAAACCTCTATAGGGATATTTCACAGGTAGTTGAAGACTTTAAGTTATAGCCTTTCAGTTATTTTTCTCTTCAGGACACATTAGCATTTATTTCGTTGAACAGATATTTTTTGGACTGTTGATTTCAATCCTCGGTGGAATGTCGAATAATTTTAAGTTGGCATGTATTAGCCTCTGATAAACTGTATCATTCTATATTAAATATGTTTATTTGTTATAATACACTTTTTTATTCCTTCACCATTCCCGGTGGAACATAGACGAGGCTTCAAGCTACAGCTTTAAATTTTCGGTAGCAGTGATATTTATTTATTTTTACAGGATTTGGTTACTAGCCTCATGACCCACCCTTACCTCTTTACCAGTCTTCTTACTGGCTTAGCTAGGTAAAGCAGTGCGTCGGTGACTTGGCGATTGAACCCTGAACTATCTGTGACGTGGTTGGCAAACATTCTACCGCTATGCCCTCCCTCTCGCTGTCGTATAACATAATACATAATAACATAGTATTATCAACAGGATGATATAACCTGAACACAATTTATTGCCTATAATCACACCAATGCATTCACACAACTTCTTAACTAACTTTGCATAGTTCTCCCTTTTCCTGACTATATAGTGCAACTTATCTCATTCCTAATAAAAGTGTTGTTCTTTTTTTTTTATTCAATAGATACAGACTTGCTTATTAGCCTCTGTATTCACCTAACCATATTACTTATTATGCAACATCTTTATCCCATATCGATTGTGTAATTGTTTCCAATTGTATACATTCCAAATGCCCGAATTTTCTTCCCACATTGCTTATCTTAACGTCGTCTCTCATTTTAGATAAAATCTAATTTTCTTGTCTGGATAACACACATTTGAAATAGGGAGAGAAAGAGTTTAATCTCTGAGTCTGCATTCACTGAATTAACAACCAACACATTTAATAGAAATGATTTAACTCCTATAGAAAATTGTATTAAAGCTGGGGAAACAGAGAACTATGTAACTTTAATTAGGAATTTGTGTGAATGCATCGATATGATTACAAACAATAATAGGCTTTTCATAAATACAAACAATAAATTGTCCTCGAAATGTCATCCATTTAATAATACTGCATCAATGTGTGTTGTGTCAAATAAATTTATTTAATAAAGGAAGAATACACATCGAAGGCTGGCATTGGTCTGTTTCCAACAGATAGGTAATATGTATAAGTTTCCAGACCATAGATGTTGCTAATTGCCTGGAATAATTTGAGCACCGAGTCAGATTGAGTCAGCCACAGAGTTAGAGCTATATGCTCAGAAGAAGTAATTGAAGATGAATTAAGCATTGTGTATGATACTTTGATGGAAAATAGCTATCACGAAAAATTTATCAAGAAACACATGACAAAGAAAGCTGAAAAGGACTACTCACTGTCTGTAAACAAGAAGCCTCTTTATATACAACTACAATTCATGGGCGGTATACCAAGCGAGATAATTGCGAAGAAATTGAGAAAATCAGTTCAAAGAAATGTTAATCCTGGCCAACTACACGTATTATTCTCTACACTACCGATGATGCTACCTCGACTGAAAGATGAAGTACCTAGACTAGCCGCTTCCAGTTGTATCTATCAATTCAACTGCGTTTGTGGAGCGAGTTATATCGGCTATTGCTCTAGGAACTTGATTTTTCGTGCTCGCTAGGGAGTATCTACCAGTACGATTAAGTAAAGGCGTAGTTAAAACCATCAACAGTTCGATATTGGACCATCTGGTGCAAACCGGCCACAAAGCCAGCCAGCCAGTGCGGAAGAATCCTTCTCTATAATCTACTGGGTGCGTAATAAATTGCCAAATCATCGAAGCACCGCAGGCTCCAAACAGCAGAGGCTATTGCAATTCGCTTCAAACAACCAGCTCTCTGTGTTCAGAAGAAGCAAGTCTAGCCCCTACTTTTGCCTTGGCCTTCAATAAAAACTATAAACTCATGAATTTGTAATATCATCTTTCCTAATTTTTCTGACATTCAGCTTATTTTATGTTGATGCTATTCAACTGTAATCTATCAATATTATTGATTCGATGTTATTTAAACATTAATGTTGTTCATAACACTAACTCATTCATTCATTATAAATTATTTAAAATAATCCCAGCGCGTTAAAGAAAAAATCAAAACAAGATTTTTCTGAACGTTTCACTGTGTAAGCCACAGCTTCTTCAACTGAATTCTTCGGATTTTATTAACCATCAAAATATGTAGTCAGAAATTACATAAATTGAAGGCAATTCCATTGAAGGGGAGAGCTGTAGATAGGTAAAGGTCAGAGTGGATGAACAAAGACTGTACAGGAAACGTCCACTTAGAAATGAATCTGAATTAAAAAGTCTAGAAAAAAGATCAGCTGTAGCAATGCCATGCTATAGACAGCGGGCAAAAGATTGATTTTGACAATATCGAAATCGTAAGAAGAGGCTTTCATTCACATTAAGAAAGGTTGACTTCTGAATCCTTGCATATTTTAACCACATCGAATGCAATAAACAGGAGCGAAGGGATAGACTTATCACCTCGTATATGGCAGACTCTAATGCAGCAAGACAGATGAGAGAGAAAAACAAATTCAGTCCTGTATTATGAGCATATTGTGAAATACCATCATAGTGATGGTTTGTAGGGATTTGATTGGTTACAGGATTTCATCATATTTTGAGTTGTTCTCCACATAACAAACAGCATATACACACTCATACAGACAAATACGCATATATGACAATTTGAAATTAGGACAAGACATATAAGTGAACAATATTGTTTTCAATTAGATGGCAAAGTTAAACTTTAAGCACCACTAACTACCAATCAGCGAACAACCTTCAACGAACCAATCGCATGAGAGATGCACTTTTGGTTAGGGAAAACATATGCTTATGAAAAAGATGCATATGAACAGCATTAAACTGTCGCATAGGGTATCTTTATCTGACATGTGGTAGAAGCATCTCCCAGTTTAGCATAGGAGTATCAAGTGAAAAGTTATACTATATTCTGTACATATATTCATCCAAATGACTATAAATGACATCCTTTTGAGATTTATTTATAGCCCTAATCCTGTTTTTTAACCTTCCCTAAAAGCCTTCTATAGAATAGGTGTCTTGTCCTTGTTTATTGGGATCCACAATATCATTAGAATAGTTCTCTATGTGATTAATATGTCCAAGGGATGACAACGAGTTATAACCTTTATATATTTTTCATGACCAAAAGTACTTCTCTCGTGAGACTGGTTCGTTGAAGGCCATTCTCTGATTGGTAGTTAGTTGTGCTTCAAGTTTAACTTAGCCAATTAGATACTTTACCAGCTTTACTCCAATTTACATTGATTTACATATAAAAATTGTAACCGATGTCGGTGAGTTGTAGATCAAGTAATAATAATAATAATAATGTGTTATATGTCGTGACACTAGTCATTACAAATATGTGATAGTTGTTTACACTTTTCTGTTGGTACAAATATCTACCGACAAGTGACCTTCAACTTATATAATTTTTGATTATATATTTTGACGGTTAATAAAATCTGTATAGTTGTGCTGAAAAAGTTGTGACTTACGCAACGAAACATTCAGAAAAATCTTGTTTTGATTTTTTCTTATATATACTAGGATTATTTCAGATGATTTATAAATAGATATTTCGTTATGTGTAAGAGAAGAGAAATTTAGAGCTACATTGAAAACTAAAGTCAGGCTTCCGTCTACAATATCAATGTATACCCCAATACAATACACGAATTCTACTTCGATTTGTTTTTTAATTGATTTTGATAATCTGTTTTTCGTGTCAGTGTTAGTTCACATAATTAAAGAATTTCACTGTGAAACTTTTAAATAAGGCAAATAATACTAAAATACTCCATATATATATATATATATATATATATATATATATATATATATAATTTTATTGTAAACAAACTGGTTAGCAGCGACCTGGATTTTGTTGATCCGAATCTTTGCGTTGGTGTGACTTAAGTTCTCTCCTCACCTGTAGCCTTACAAAAAAAATGAATCTTCCACTACCACCTGTTAACTCTAATTTAATAATGTACTTCATATGTTATTTATTTCATTGAGGGTTATCAGGTGAAATGCAAGTACAAGTTTTGTTCTACTCAGTACTCACTCATCAGTCGGGCACATGAACATCTTATTAAGTCGTTGGTATTCTTAGTAGGAACGTGAATCATGGATTCATTGCATTGTTATTTCATCCTACTGGCAGAGCATAACACAATAATTTACTATTCACTCTGCTTATGTGATTGTGTTTTCATTTAAACCCTAAAGAGGTGTAAACCGTCGTCTTTACAAAGCTGAACTAAAAATAGGTATGACTTATCTGAATTATCTGAAGATCAGATGACCAGAAAAGATCAGCAACAGGGATCTCTGGAAATGAGCGAACCAACACAGCAGGAACCGATTGTGAAACAAATAGGCAGGAAGAAATAGAGATGGATTGGCCATACTTTGAGGAAACCATCAAGTGACATCGCTAGATAAGCCCTTGCTCGAGTGGAACCCGAAAGGGAAGCGGCGAGTTAGTCGTCCAAGAGTGACTTGGAGGAGGTCATCTGAAGAGGAGATGAAAGCATGTTGGTAGACCTTGAGCCAGGTGAAAACTTTAGCAGAGAACCAAACGCAATGGAGACTTCTGGCTGAATCCCTATGTTCCTCTAGGAATTAAAAGAAAAAATAATAATATCTGAATTTTATGAGTTGATCACGGATTGATATCAGTTAGAGAACCATTGAAAACCAGGGAGTACTGGACAGCTGCTGTTTCATCCTAGTTTGGGAATCATCGACAGTACGCACCCACTGGGATTCGAACCCAGGACCTTCCGGCTACAAGGCAAGCTCGTATACCATTCGTAAAACATATCTAACCCTTACGAACAAAACTATAGAAAACATCTGAATTATCAAATATCTTGACTTTGTTGTATTCATCTGTATAATTATTCTTGAATAGCAAATTCAAATTGTCCTTAATGTAGGTCATATACATTGTAATGTGAATATATTTCTTATGGTGTGGCTCTCTCTGTCAGACACTAGACAGAGATAGATAGATATACAAAACTAAACATTAGATATTAACTAAAGAACCATTTGAAATCATGTGACACTATGTTTAGGCTGTTCAGCAATATACATCCACTTCGAAGCTGTGCTTCTATAGTTTAGACACTTAAATTTCAACAACTGAGTCACACAAGTTTAAACCTTTTCTCTACGTTAACGAGGTTTTTTCAGCCAGGTATTATCACCATGGCTTACAAGAAGTGGATAACTCATCGCCCAATGGATATAAATGCCCATTCTTGATGAACGTATACAATAGAAATGAGGGCTGATATATATATATATATATATATATATATATATATATATTATTGTATCCTTTAGTTCCTAGAGGAACATAGGGCTTCAGCTGCGCACCTCCATTGCCTTCTGTTTTCTGACAACTTTTTCACCCCGCTCCAGGTCTGTCCACATGCTTTCATCTCCTCCTCGCATGACCTCCTCCAAGTCACCCTCACACTGACGACCAACTCGCCGCTTCCCTTCCGGGTTCCACTCGAGGGCTTGTCTAGTGATGTCGCTTGATGGTTTCCTCAGAGTATGGCCAATCCATCTCCATTTCTTCCTGCCTATTTGTTTCACAATCGGTTCCTGCTGTGTTGGTTCGCTCATTCCCAGAGATCCCTGTTGCTGATCTTTTCCGGTCAGCCATCTGATCTTGAGTATTGAGCGAAGACAACTGTTAATGAAGGTCTGAAGTTTGTTTGAGATGCTCTTTATGACTCGCCAAGTCTCTGATCCGTATAGTAGCACTGACTTTACATTGAAGTTGAAAATCCAGATCTTATTTTTGATGCTGAGTGCTGTTGACCTCCACACAGATTTGAGAGTAATGAAAGCTTGTCTTGCTTTTCCGATTCTGGCTTTGATATCCTCGTCAGTTCCGCCTGTAGTTGAGACGATGCTTCCCATGTAGGTGAAGGAGGCTGTTTCTTTCAGGTTCCTCCGATTTATGCTGATTGTTGTCTGTTGTTGTTGATGTTGACCAGGAATCTTCATCAACCTCTGTTTTCTCTATGTTCACTTGAAGTCCTATCTTTGATGCTTCTTCTGCCAACTTGTTGCTTTTCACTTGCATATCTTCCAGTTTGTGGGAAATCAGACATATATCATCGGCGAAATCCAGATCCTCCAAGTCTTTTGTGTCAGTCCATTTTATGCCTGTTCCTTCGTTGGTTGCCGTTGCCTGTCGCATTATCCAATCGATTGCAATCAGGAAGATCATTGGTGATAGTAGACAGCCTTGTCGCACTCCCGTCCTCACTTCGAAGGCTTCCGTAAGTTTCCCGTTGTGGATTACTTGGCATGCAACATTGTCGTATAGCTGTTGGATGAGATGTATAATTGTCGATGGAACCCCGTAGTAGCGAAGTAGTTGCTATATGACCTCCCGATCGACGCTGTCGAAGGCCTATTCAAAATCGATGAAGTTGAGATAGAGAGATGACTGCCATTCCAAGCTTTGTTCAATGATGATCCGTAGAGTGGCGATTTGATCAATACATGATTTGTTCCTCCTGAATCCGACCTGTTCCGGACGAAGTTTTTGATCCAGGGCTTGTTTGATTATATATATAGCTTGTGGTTAACACATTACCATTCTGATGCGTCATACCTTGACTTAAAAAGAGTAGAATTCGGTGAGTATGAATCATTAGATTCACATCTTGTTACTGTATTTGACTCCACTTGGGGAAAGTCTACATCTTCAATGGATATTCGTCTTTGCAAACAGTATATAATACAAGTATCACTTGAATATCAATGAGCTGCTCACTAGCGGCTTGCCCTATTCTGGTAGGTAGTTAACTGGGGTTCTAGTGAGAAGTCGTGATCAGTAGGGTGCAGCAAATACTCGCCGCCGAAGACATTGACTACTGGTCGCGCTATGTTGTGAATTGGCAGAAGTTATATTTCATGCAGTGGTCATTGGATTGGGTCCCAGTGGCTTAATGGTCTACGAGCTAGCTCGCCTTGTAACCAGAAGGTCCTGGGTTCGAACCTCATGTTGGTGGTTACGTACTGCTGAAGGGTCCCAAACTAGGACGAAACAGCTGTCCAGTACTCACAGGTTTTCCGAAGGTCCTCTAACTAATGTCAGCTCATGATGAAATCTTGAAAACGAGTATTTCAGATGAATGTCATTTTTTTTTCCTTTGAAATTTATTACAAGTCATCATCTTGTATATGTGTATTGATCAAGGTGTTGAGGCTGTAGATAGTTGGTCATAAATCCGAAACCGACGTAAATTCTCTTGACTTCTAGACAAGCAGAGAATAATAACGCCAATTATCATAATCCTTATTGTATGAACATGTATGCATTTGTTTATTTTTTTCTCTTTGTTTTCATGTCCGTTAATCCCCTTCTCATCTCTTCTTTTCTCTTTATTCCTGTTCTTTTCTTATTAAATTAAACAAATATATATATGATAGAGAAATAGCTGACGCAATTGTTTCTGGTAAAGATGTTAAACTTGAGCGATTAATTGTTATCTCTCAAGAAATTGCTGCCAGTACAACCCAATTAGTTTGTGCTACACGTGTTAAAACTAATCCAATATCAGAAATGTTTACTAAACTACAAACAACTAGTAAAGAAGTATGCAAATGTACTGGAAATTTAATTGCATGCGTTAAAAAAGCTATTGAAGCAAAACACACAGAAGGTATATATATATATATATATATATATTTTTTTTATTGGTTAAATATTCAATATTTTATATTTATTTAATTTTTAATTTCTTAATATACAATTGGTGGGTGGTGGCTAGCAGTGGAATTCAGGATGCGCATTTCGTCCTATTTGGGACTCGTCAGCTGGATGTACCTGCATTTCTCAGTGAGTGATGATGTTCCCACCGAGGCTCGAACCCAGTACCCATAGTTTCAAACGCCAAAGCGTTATCCACTAGACCACTTGGGCCACGAGAGCTGGCCACCTCTTGTGCAACGGGTCATATTAATTATTGAATTGAATTTTTGATTTTCCCGTCGATTGATTGGAGACCGAGCACTTCGGTCCAATCAATCGACGGGAAAATCAAAAATTCAATTCAATATTTAATTTCTTAATTTTAATTTTTTTCTTTAATAAGTAAGACATTCTTTTCAGCTAAATGTGTTTATTTATTGTTTAGCACGTGGATTATATCAAGGCTTTATTTGTAGTGTCAGATACGTGAATTATGACAAATGATGATAGTTATAATTCACCGGTATAATTAGTGTACTGATTCGTCATTCAAACGGTAGTTATCTGCATTTATTTTGTGTATGTATGTATGTATGTATGTATGTGTATCGGTGACTGACATATCAACGTACCAATCCGGTGTATTTCAGGAGCAGTAACAAAATATCAGGTTAATTATTTCCTAAAATTTGAATAAAGCAAGAACAACAGTTTTCGCAGAATAAAATGGAACCATCATTTATTTCGTTGCCTTCTCGTCAGGTGCTTACAGGCCAAAGATATTATTAAATATATCTACAAAACCAATTTTAACATACCTACACAGAGTTCATTTTAAACAAAAATCAATCGATCTGTTCCCGCGGATACATGTAAATTTGTATGTACAGTTGGAGTGAATATGAGAAGGATATCTATCGATTTTCGATTGCACCAAAAAAGAAAGCAAGTTGTTCGATAGACGGGTGGAGGTGAGCAGTTACTATGGTAGAACAGAAAGAAGGCCATATCTTCAATTTTCTGAAAATGTTCCAAAAAGCTTACGTCTAAAGGGAACAAATGCTGTAAACAGTGCCATCACCAGGCATCTCCTTGACACTGGTCATGAGGTGGACGTCGAAAAGTCATCCAAAATTATAAATAGGCAAAAGAGCTCAATTCTCCTGAAGTTTGCTGAAGCCATTTCCATCAAGCGCCTGAAATCTGATTTCTTCGTTCACAAAGAAGAAGGTTATCATTCTTTCTTTGCTCTGATAACTGGATGTTTTCATCTCTCTTTCATCTGAATGCGTAATGCTGAAAAATTTCCATTGTGTGTGAATATTATTGTTCGGAATAGTGTTTAATATTATATATATATATATATATATATATATATATATATAAACTGTATGCATATATTGGTCGATTGATTTTTGTTTAAAATAAACTCTGTGCAAGTATGTTAAAATTGTTATTGTAGATATATTTAATAATGTCTTTGCCCTGTAAGCAGCTGACAAGAAGGCAACTAAATAAAAGATAGTAACACATTATTTCTGCTAAAACCGTAGTTCTTGCTTTGTTCAAATTCATTAAGGGGAATAAATGTATGATATTTCGTAACAGTATGAGTAACAGGATTTTTTTACCACTCCCTACGTTTCGAGTGGAACATAGGCCTTCCTTCCTGTACCTTAATGTTTCACTAATGGTAGTGTTATTTTTTCACAGGGGGTTAGGTTGCTGATCTCACGCCCAACACCCCCTCTTTTCTGGGTGTATGACTTGCCTAGTAGATAAGGTGGGGTTTAGGAGTGAGCGTTGGCCGGGAAACGAACCCAAACCTCGTACGTTGACTGGAAAGCATTTTATGATTGAAGCACTGACGGTGTCAGGATTTATACTTCATTTGATTAATAATTCAAGCACTGAATGGTATCTTACTTAGCCTATATGTTGTCACCTGAATAATGTTCTGTACTTTAAACTTGAATAGTGAAGTATGTGTTCTCCTTCTGTTCGTTGTGAAACCTTCTGGTGAACATAATCTGGACTCGATTTCTTAAGTTCTATCATCAATAAAATTTATTTGATAAAATTACGCAGTGTTAAACAATATTATTTACTGATGATGTTTTGAGCACATTTTCATCTGATTATGAGCAATAAATTGCACTCGAAATGTATTCAGTAAACAATACTGTATAACACTGCATGGTTTCGTCAAGTAAATTTACTTTATGATGGAATTATATTCTACTACACTGCCCAATTTTATTTGGTCCACTGGCTCTGATTTGAGGGTCACTCAACAATCACTTGTACTAATGATATACTAGATAGTTGGAGGCAATCGGCAGGAAGCTTTACACATAGGTTTCGTGCTAGTTGGCACTCGTCAGCAAGGCTGACTGATAGAATTCAGTCTGCACCAAAGAAAGGACTAGATACGTCACACTAGTTACTAGTGTTCAATCAAAACAATCACTTGTACTTTACAAGCATTTGGTAACAAGAGCTAATGATACTACTTGGCTTCTTAGAACTTGTTAGTTAAGGCGGAATTCAGTCCTGTTGTTCAAGTGGTTAGAAGTTGAGTTCTCAGTGAAATGAGCCATTATGGACTGTGATCAGATACCAAGATGACTACATCACATTATTATGTGAAAGATAGTCTCTAAATTATAATAGTTACACCATTATAGATAAGATTTTATTTTGATAAGTCACACACTGTTGTACAGTATAATTTTTTTAAATATTTTTGATATTTTTGATTTACAGCTTGATTCCACACTGTATTTGGAATTTTCAGCATGGATATCGGTAGCCCAAATTTTGCAGGCCGACCATAGATATCAGGTGTGCGTCGGCAGGGGGTCGAACCTCGGACCATGTGAATGGTCGGCGAGAGTCCTAACCACTGTGCCACCGACGCACAGTAATGTTAAATGATGACGTCTCTAGCACAAATTATTGCTTATAATCATATCAAGTCACTCACACAACAAAAAAGGTTGTGAGTGACTTAATATGATTATGAGCAATAGTTTGTGCTCGAAACGTCATCAGTTAATATTACTGTACAACACTGTGTGATTTTCAAGATTTGGCTTGTAAGGATTAAATTTGTTTTTAAGAGTTTGACCACGAGTTGGCATCAGTTAGAGAACCATTGAAAACTGAGGAGTACTGGACTCCTGTTTCATCCTAGTTTGAGAATCATTGGAAGTACGCACCCACAGTAGGGGGTTCGAACGCAGGACCTTCCGGATACAACGCAAGCTCATAGACCATTTAGCCACTAGGCCCCGATTCAGTGGCTAGTGCATGAATCCTAACTTCTACCAATTCGTGATTTAGTGCGACCACCAACCAATGTCATCGGTGGGAAATCCATCCTCACTCCCGACTGGATGGACCTCACCGTTCAGGACTAAGGTTCGAACCCCAGTGGGTGTGTACTGCCTATGATTACCAAACTGGGATGAAACAGGTGTCCAGTACTCCCCAGTTTTCAATGATTCTCTGACTGATATCAATTCATTGTCAAACTCGTAAAAACAAATTTAATCCGTACAAATCAGCTCTTAAACAAAACCGTTTACCTCAATTTTTTTCTTTTGTAACACGTATCTGTTGAGATGACCAATAGTGCTATATATGGCATTCCCTAACTAGGAATTGTTTGTTTACCCCAGTTTCACCCGAAAGAATGTTTAACATAGAAAAGGTCAGTAATAGATTACAATCTATTCTTAAAGGAGAAGCGGCTGATACATTAAGTCAATCTAAATTAGCCGTATTATTCAGTTTATTCCTCCATAAGCCTATTGGTATGCTGGCGAGTATTAAACTGAAATCAGTTAGATCACCATGGAATCTCACCTAAAATTTCATTAATTCAATCTGTAAATTTCACAAAGGCAAAGAAACAGGGTATAAGTGAAGAATAATATCAGGATTAGACATCAATGTATTCTAAATTTTAACGACCATAAAGACTGAATACATATGTATTATCATAATGAAGTACAAGCCATGCCACTAAGGTTTTTCAATCCTTGCTTCATACCATCTCAAAGACTGCATATGAAGTGGTCATCACTTTCCCAAACAAATAAGACCAGTTGTTAAATGCTTTATGATGTAGTGATATCCACAACTAGCTACTCTTGACGTATATATATATATATTGAATTCTCCTTATCCGCTTATGTTCTCTCCATCTCACTTTCCAACCTTAAAATCAAATCGATTCCATGAGTAGCAAAGTTTTTAGAAATACAGTAATAAATTATGGTATCAATAATTAATTTTAAGACTTACTGATAAAGGTCTTAAGGCAGTTAAATAGTTTTATTAGCCAAGCCGTCATTCAGTTTTTGGAAATTATGATCCCAAATTGTGCGTCTCTATGGTTCGACCATAGATTACTCGCTAACCATGCACGTGGTCTGGGGTTAGATTCCCGGCCGTTTGTAAGCAAGACAATGGTGATGAAAGGTCGGTATTGAGAAACACCAATACTAGTGAAACTTTAAAATCCAGATGTCGTTCAGCTCGGAAACCAAGGGAATAAAATTAAAAAGAATGATCATAACATGAAGATTTTTATCGTAACTGCTTATCCCTTCAAAATAGAAAAGGTTTTGTACTCATTAGAATCATTTGTTTCGTTTAATTCAGTTCTAGGTTAAAAAGTTATTATCATTCTTTATTTAAGTAGTATTTAACTTATATTTATTATATACTTTGAATTGTTTATCTATTATTAATATGTTTTTTGATAAATTTATTTCCTAGAACTTGATTTTAGTTGTCTTACATTAACTCAAGCAAAACGTATGGAGGTTGAATTACAAGTGAAAATTATTGAATTAGAAACATCATTAACTAATGAACGTCAACGTTTAGCACAATTAAGAAGAGATAATTATCAGTTATCAGCTGAAGTAGAGGTAATTGGTTTTTTTTAACCAAGATAACAATCAACTTTTATATTATTGCTATATTCTCGTCGAGTAGCTACTAGTCCTGACGCGGAAAGAGGGAAATCAGAAGACCATCAGGTTTACGATGATACTTGTTTTTCCAGACAAGTATAGAGCCAGCGAAGACAGTTGTTGGTTGATAAAGGCCTGCAACAGGCTGTTGGAAATATCTGTTCTTTGTGACCCGCCCGCCAAGTTTCTGATCCGTATAGAAGAACTGACTGACTTGATGTTTGTATTGAAAATCCGACCGAATTTTGTTGTTGATGCTGGCTGAGTGACGAAGATTTCCAGATTGGTTTCAACCAATATATGCATAGAGTAATTATATATATATATATATATATATATATATATATATATAATATCGAAGACTATTCCGGACACTAATGATCACACCTAATGGAGACTTTCGACATTACTTAATCAGATGAAAGATAGGTGAAAATATTCAGTTACCAGGGCAAAGAAAGACTGATAACTGCTTCTTTCTGAACGCATAAATGAGATTTGAGGCTCTTGATTGGAGATGGCTTCAGCAAATTTGAGGGATATCGGATTCTTTTGCCTATTGATAATTTTGAAGGATCTTGCGACGTCCACCTCATAACGCGTTTCAAGGAGAGGCATGGCGATGGCACTGTTTAAAGCGTTTTTTCCCTTTAGACATAAGCTTTTTGATACATTTTCAGAAAATGGTGTATATACCCCTTCTTTTTGTTCTTCAAATGTAATTGCTCCCGCAGATACATGTAAATTTGTATATACAGTTGGAGTTAGTATGAGAACGATATCTGTCGATTTTGGGTTGCATTAAGTTCCACCAACTTTCAAGTTGTTCGATAGACGGGAACGAACTTAGCTGCAGGATAGGCTCTGGCTAGTGACGTACTCAGTCGGCAGTCGATCCCCTGCCGACGAACACCTGATATCAATGGTCGGTCTGCAAAATTTTGGCTACCGGTATTACATACAGCAAATTCCATACTTTTACCAAAAATATGGTGTGGAGTCAAGCTATTATCAAAAGAAAGATAAAAGACATTATTTTTTTTACTCCGTCTGTCAATGAAATTACTTTTGTTAGCATGTGAATAACACTTGTAGTTTGTTTTTTAAATAGATAAACCACACAGTGAAGCAATATTATTAACTTAATGATGCCTTGAACACCGTTTATTGTTGGTAATTATATGGAAATGTAACCCAACCACTTCGATACTTCGTTTCCATAGTTTCGGGTCTTGTTTTTAATCTCTTTCTTAGTATGGATAGTATAATTTCCCACCGATTGGGGAAACCTATTGAGTTATTTCTGTTGTACTTATTCCCAGTTGACTAGATAAACGAAGCTTTGGGTAACAGTCTCTATCTGCATTCTGTCATACTAATTGTCGCGAACTGTGCTACCTTGCCTCATGCCTTAGTGTTTTAGTTGTTTCTAACTGGAGATAGAGATATCAGTAAACTATCTCTGAGTTTCTTATCTTAAGACAGTGTTTTGCTAATATAACTGAACCCGATCTTCTACTTTAACCTGTTTATTCGGCTCTATATTTATACTACAGTATTAGGTAAACTAATTTATTTCATTTCACGCATACATTCTGCAGAATCCTTAAACCGATACAGTTCATTTCTAAGTAAGTTTGAAGGTTTGAAGGCCACTTTAATTCCTACCCTTTTACAAATCTTGGAAATTCCTTGCGTGTAATGACGATATTGCCAATGTTTTAAATTCCTTCTTCCTTATTCTATCATCATTATGTATACAAAGAACATTTACCTAAAGCCTAGTAGTAATTTTATCTTTATAATTATTTGCATACCTCTGGATAATCATTGAACGCAAGGATTCCTTTCATGCGCTTCACTTTCAGTCGTATTATTAGCTTTTTATGTTGCTCAGTTACGTATTACTGATTTCGAAACACCCGTTCATGCGAGATATTACCAGTAATCAGTAGTATTGTCAGAATTCTTACAATTTTTTTTGATTTTCCCATTGATTGATTGGACCGAAATGTTTGACGTACTTTGAGAAGTCGGCTGCTTATGCGGATGCATCGACAATGTCTGAGGATTTAACCTGAAGTAATTTGGTAGGTTTTGACTAGAGCAGTGTAATCCAGGCTACGCATTTCGTCCTTTTTGTGACTCGTCACCTGGGTATGTACTTGCATTCCGCAGTGAGTGATGGTGTTCCCACTGAGGCCAAAGATTTCGGTCTAATCAATCAACGAGAAAATCGAAATTGTGAATAAAAAAATACATAACAACTGACACACTATTATGTATTCGTCGCCAAATTATTGTTATGTCGAGAATTTAATAGTCCTGACGCAAGATAGACGGAAATCAGAAGACCACTAGGTTTGCGATGATACTTCTATTTTCCAAACACAAGGAGAATCAAAGTCACACAAGAGTGTGAGAGCAAAAATATATATATGAATGTTCGAACAAGTGTGTGAACAGTCTTAACATGATTGGCTAATTATAATGGAGTATCGATCCATATATACATAGCAAAATATAGCAGATATGTCAACAAACACACATATTATATGGATATATATCACCAAGGACAGACTGTCAACAAACACACATATTATATATAATATAAGGGGAATATACATTGTTAAAGGGGACAGGTTCATCAAAGTGAAATGGTCACAGACTAAGAGAGCAACAGAAAGAGAGACCACCATATATATATATATGGATGTATATCACACACTTTGCACAATTGCTGGCTTTCGTGACCTTAGTAGTCTAGTGGTTAGCACTTTGGTGTTTAAAATGTTGGAACGCCATCACTTACTGAGGAATACAAGTATATTCAGCCGAAGAGTCCCGAAATAGGTCGTAATGCTCATCCTGGATTCCGCTACTGCTATTCACCATTCATCGAATCACTACTATTGTTTTGTTCACGTTAAATTAATTCATGATGAAAAAGTTAAGGATTAAAAATCTGTGTCGCTATTATTTATGTATCGAATATTTTCCCTTAAAAATTTTCCTTATTTGTTTTATTTATTTATTTATATTTCGCTTCATCACACGATAATCGATCGGTAGGATGAATTGCTTGAACCAACCCAGTTCATATGCATGAATGATTGATTGAATGAATGAACAAACCTGTGTTTGGACTGCTTTCTCTTGATAAAACAAAAAGTTTAGAAAAAAATAGAGTTTATTAAACTTAACTGTCATTTCATACACTCTCTTAGGTAAATTTTGTTTGAAAGTAGTTAATGTTTGTAGAATACTTAGTAAATCTAGTTAGTAATAATAATAATAATAAGCATGTGTTTAGCTTATGTCAAAAACTAGTAAAACAAAGACGACCACGTTATTTTGTCTATTTGTCAAAGTATTCTATCCATAGAGCATGCATAGTCAGCAATTAAAGACTGATAGGATACTAAAGAAAAGTTATTTCAATGCTGTAAAGACAGGAATTCAAGTGAACATAGACAAGACGGAGGTGATGAAAATAATCAACCAACCAACAACAACAACAGCACCAACATCCAGCGCCAATCACCATCAACGGGGGGATTTGAAAGAGGTTACTTCATTCACTCACTTATCTAGGGAGCATTGCCTCAACTACAGGAGGAATGGAAGAGGATGTCAAATCGAGCGAGAATCGGGAAGGCGAGTGAGAAACACATTCACCACCAACCTGAAACCAATCTGGAAATCTTCGTCACTCAGCCAGCATCAACAACAAAATTCGGTCGGATTTTCAATACAAACATCAAGTCAGTCAGTTCTTCTATACGGATCAGAAACTTGGCGGGCGGGTCACAAAGAACAGGTATTTCCAACAGCCTGTTGCAGACCTTCATCAACCAACAACTGTCTTCGCTGGCTCTATACTGAACTGAAGATCAGATGGCCGCGTCGGAAAGAATCACCAACTATGGGAACAAACGAAACAAGAACCAATCGCCAAACAACAAATATGCAGGAGAAAGTGGAGATGGATTGGACACTTACTCGCTGAGGAGGCGGCTGTATGAGATCGCGTGCGCGTCAGGCCATTGCTCGAGTGGAACCAGGTCGAAAGGGAAGCGGTGAGTGGGTCGTCAGTGTAAGGGTGACATGGAGGAGATCGTGTGAAGAGGAGTTAAGACAGTATGGACTAAGATGGATGCAGGTGAAAAGTACAGCAGAGGGAAGACAGAAGTGGCAAGTGGAGACGTGCATTTGAAGCCCTATGTTCCACTGGGAACCCAAGGGAACAATAATAATAATGTTTCAATGCTGTAGTAAAGTTGCTGACTGACTGAATTCCACCATAGATCTTTGCACAGAACTACAGCAGTTCAAGTCGCCACACCTCATGGAGTATACAAAGGTGTAGAGAAAAGATAGGAAAAGGAAATTCTAAAGAACTCTAATGAACAGATATATGCGTGAAAGAAAGAATAAGAACATGAAAATGAAGAAACATGATATACGAGATCATGAAGAATGAATGTATCTGTGCCATTGAGAAGGATTTTGAGACAATTCACTAAGTTTCAAGCCATTAAAATAGTCGAATAGTCGAGATCCCCAACCAGGCAGTCACTTCCTACCTCGCGATAATTGTCAAAAACTCCATGGATTGATTACACATTTTGATTTCATCATCGTTTATTCTTTTTCAAGTCTAGTCTTATGTCAGTTAACACTGCTTACCGAGGAAGGCGATGGTGGACTCTATATGCACCACACGCATCCTAGTTAACTTAGTCGGTATAACTTCACAGTCTTATCGATTGACTTACCCTCCTTACCTAACTAACATTCTACGCCCCCACCCACCTCAATAGAACAAAAATATCTGTAGTCAGAGAGAGCTAACCTTTTCATTGATATCATTTTCAATGACATTGTCGTACATTCATAAAAGAGAATAGAATGAACTGCAGAGCAGTAGACACGTCTTGGGATCGTTAGTTGGATAACACATCTACACGGGCAATAACGTGAGTTGTCAAGTGCTACAAAAGCCTTTTTTTTATACTTTGTAAAGTTTCATGAGCTATCAGTCCATTAGAGGCTTATACAACACTTCCTAAATTAGTAAAGTGGTCAACACACTCAACCACTTCACTCCTTATCTTTAAGCTAGGAGGAGTCAGTGACGATCAGTCCTGCAGCATAACTTTACATTTAACATGGGTGAATTCTACGCCAAATATATTCGAAGACTTCTGCTCAAAAAGTGTTCAGAAAAAACCACGCTGAAAATTCCATACTTGTACCAAAAAGGAAAAAAAAATCAAAATCAAAATCATATTCACTCAGCGTTTTCAACTAGAATGGCAATATCATCTGTTTATACTACTACTCTAAATTGATAAGACTGTTTTCTAGAAATAAGTTAATCCCTAAGTCGCTAAAGTTAGTGAATATTGACTGCATTAGTCCGTCTATGATAAAATTATTAAATAAGTAGTAGAGTTGAGAATTTAATGAAATGTTTCTTTCTTAACGTCTTAATTATTATAATCTAACATTTATTCGGAATGAGAATTTCCAAAAGCTTAAAAATAAAAAGAGAATATTTGCATCCTTATTTGCTTGTTAGTGTATAGCACATTTATTTGTGTAATGTTTAGTGATGAAATGAACTTGATAAAAGCATGATTTTACACATTTTTTACGAAGAGATTAAATTTTTTTTTTGGTTTTTTCTTTGTCGGGGTGGGGTGGGGCATAGCGATAGAATGTTCGCCAACCACGCCACAGGTGGTTCAGAGTTCAATTCCCGGCCGACGCACTCCTTTACCAAGCTAAGCCAGTAATAAGACTGGTAAAGATGTAAGGGTGGGTCATGAGGCTAGCAACCCCATCCTGTAAAAATAAACACTGCCACAGAAATTTCAAAGCTGTAGCTTGAAGTCCTATGTTCCACTGGGAATGTATCTCCACTCTTTTTCTTTTCTCTTATTAGCTTGAAATCAGTATTTTCTTCTGGAAATTCCCGTAAGATATTTCATTTCATTGAACGTCCACCAGCTCTTTATTAAGGCCTGTTTAAATTTAACTTTTAAGTGGCAAATTGGGATAGTTTACAATGGATATATACTAACCAAATGAGTATATTCTAACAGGGAAAGATATCCAATGTTGGTTTGCGGGAATTCGATTTGTTACATATTGAAATCACTTAGAAAACTGTTGGAAAACCAGCTGGGAGTACTGGACAGCTGTTTCGTCCTAATCTGCGACTCTTCACAGTACACACCCACTGGGATTCGAACCTCGGACCTTCTGGTTACAAAACGAGCTTGTAGACCATTCAGCCATTTGGATCCGATCCATTAGTCCAAGGGGTTCCAAATTCTGCTAATTCACGGTATATATATATATATATATATATATATATATATATATATATATATATAGAGAGAGAGAGAGAGAGAGAGAGAGAGGGAGGGAGAAAGAGCAACCGCCAATCGAGAAGTCGTAACCAGCGGAGTCCACTAAGTCAGGCAAGAGAACACTTACTCGTCTATGACACTGACTGGTGGTTGCGCTATATATAAAGAAGAAATCTAGCAACAATTGCTAATCGATAAGGCTAATAAATTTTTCACTTGGGATATTTTTCTGTCATGAATTAGAGGTGTTTAGAGATTTATCAAGGAAACAGAGATTATTCGGCTAAGATAGTAGCGTCTTGAAAATACTGTTTTCATTTTCTGTGACTATCCTTGTATTCATTTACTCTAAATTTTCTGTTTAACTTGCTTATCGCATTACTCATATTCCATTTCCCATTTTTTTTCTCTTCATCTAACTCATCAATGCTTTATTGTGCATCACAAATCACCTTAAAATAATGTGTGAACGCTTTCATTGAATACCATAATTTATGGTTCCAACGCATTTTTGCTTAAATAGCTCATGTTTTTTACTTTAGCTTGTTGTACTGATTGAATTTACAGAACTTTTATAAAGCAATATCTGAAGATGTTCAAGGGTTAGTTTGTAGGGATTTGATTGGTTACAGGATTTCATCATGAGCTGACATGGGTTAGTTAATCATTGGAAAACCAGCTAGGAGTATTGGACAGCTGTTTCGTCAGCCTAGTTTGGGACTCTTCATCAGTACGCACCCGCCGGGATTCGAACCCAGGACCACCTGGTTACAAGGTGAGTACGTAGACCATTAAGCCACTGGGACCCGGAGCAGCGGCCAGCCTATGAATTCCAACTTCTGCCAATTCACGACATAGCGCAGCCGCTAGCCAATGTCTTCGGCGGCGAGTATTTGTCCTCACACCCGACCTGCTGCACCCTATTGGTCACGACTTCCCACCAGAACCCCAGGTAATTACCTACCTGAATAGGGCCAGTCGCCGTAGACATGATATCCGGCTTCCGACCAAAGGGCGAGTGTACTGCTCATCACTCCGCTCCGTCCTCCTTTATGGCTGTAAGACCTGGCCATTGAAAGTGGAAGATATGAAAAGATTAGCCGTCTAGCTGTCTTTGATCATAGGTGCCTGCGTTCAATCTCCCTTGTGAAGTGGTATAATAAGGGGAGCAATAGTGAGGTTAGGCGTCGAGCTCTAGGTAGGTGGGAGGGGAAATCAATAGAAGAGGCTGCGAATTTACATCGACTGAGATGGTTAGGACATGTGTTACGTGTATGCGTAGTCATCGCCTTCCTCGACGGGCAATGTTAGCTGACATAGGATCAGACTGGGAAAGAGCTAGCGGTGGTCAAACCAAAACATGGCACCATTCAATGGAATCCGCAACAGTTAGTTTAACCCAGCGACGTAGGAAGGGGGGGGGTCCTCGGGACGGTATAAACCAAAGGCTGGCGCAGATGCATCCACTCCTTGTGACATGATTTCCAATTAAACTATACTGTTCTTCGTTATTACTATTGCTTTGTCTCACACCTCTGTTTACTGTCTCTATTATGCATTTCTTCTCTTGGTTTGTGTGCTACATGGAGGGGGTGTGGCGACTTGAACTGCCGAACATCGGTGCAAAGTTCCATGTCGAAAACAGACAGACAGAGACAGTGGGACTCAAAATCAAATGCTAATGCTCATGAGTCGCATTCGCATGTTGTTGTATACGGCTAGATAGCTGCACGACTCCAGTTTACAACCCAGTAACACTGAATTCAATTGCATTATATTACCGGGTTACAACAGTATATTCTTCTATATGAGTAAAAAAATTCTTAAGACATACCATATCTACTACCATTAAATAGTATATTACTGTTCACAGAAGTAGGTTAGTTCAATGCGAAATTCAGTGTTATATCTTCCTGTTTTAATGCACTTTTTACCCATTTCTTCAGCATGGTATTTATTTGCATTCAACTCTGCATATTCAACATAGTATTTGTTGTATTGCTGTCAATTTTTTTTTCTTTTTAGTTTATTTATATGTATTACTAATATTTTTATCCCTTCTAATTTTTCTTTAATTTTTAATCCTTTTTTCTCCTTTTCAATATTATCTGTCTGTCATCTGATCAAAATTAGGAGAAATCAACAACAACAACAACAAAGAATACATGAAACTTCAATGATGAAATGCAATAACAACATGTAACAACATCAACGAAACCTTATAGCTGATCCATTCATCCATCATTCATGCATTATTAAGGTGTAAATAAATTCGGCAGTTCACCATGTGTTATTCCTCCTACTGATGAAAAACTGACATGTCACAACACTGCATTATTTGTCACTATTGTTGCAATTATATACATATACATATATATGCGCCATAGTCTTTCACTATTCATCATTTATATATATATATATATATATATATATATATATATATTGATTTTAATGCCACCTGACTTTTAATTGATTTCATAAATTTAAACTGAATCTCATCACTTGTTGCTTTTAACTTTTTTTCAATATAATGATGATCTCATTGATTTTACTACCACTGATGATAAATAATAATAATAATAATAATTAGATATTTATTTAAATTCATTTTATTGCTTTTGTTTTTCTTTTCTGCTTACATTTTACGCCTACTAGGGACATCTTTTCTGTCTTCTTCCTTTTGCTTTTTTCTAACTATTCACTGATTTGCATACATCGATCGCTTTTTGAGGTTTTTTTCCAAGTTCATCGTGAAAAAAAGAGAAAAGAAGTGGAGTGAATATTCCTTCTCGCCTTCTTTATCTTCTATATATACATAAATAAATGTTTTCTGTGTTTTTGCTTGTTTCCCTCCCGAATGAATGCGACTGCTTTTTACCCTCCCGGTTACCTTCATATTTTACCACAGTTATTTTAAACTATTTTTTCTGTTGTCTGATGTTGCCAGCTTCTTTCTTTCCTCCTTTCTTTCTTAATTCAGTATTTTATTTTTTCTTGGTTAATTGATTGGTGGATACAATCTAACATTATTATATAATATTATTTGTAATTATATTAATGAAATTATCTAATCAATGTTTATAGACACAAATAGACATGATCTCTTTCAGAATATCTGTTGTTTTGTTTGCAATATATTATCAAGTATTGGTTTTGTATGGATTTTGTTTGATTGTATGGAGGATTTCACCATGAGCTGACATCAGTTAGAGAACCATTGGAAAACCCACCTGGGAGTACCGGACAGTTCTTTCGTCAGCCTAGTTTGGGACTCTTCATCAGAAAGCACCCATCCACCGGGGTTGGAACCCAAGACCTTCTTGTTACAAGGTGAGCTCGTAGACCATTGAGCCACTGACTAGGACCCGATCCAATGGTTCTTGAATTCTAACATCTGCCAGTTCACGACATAGCGCGACCATTTCGCAATGTCTAGTGGGAAGCCGTGACCAGTAGGGTACAGCAGGTCGAAGATGAGGCAGTAACTCATCGAAGAAGACATTACGAAATGGTCGCGATATATAGTGAACTGGCAGATGTTAGAATTCAAGAACCATTGGATCGGGTCCCAGTGGCTCAATGGTCTACGAGCTCGCCTTGTAACCAGAAGGTCCTGGGTTCGAATCCCGGTGGGTGCGTACTGCTGAGGAGTCCCAAACTAGGACGAAACGGCTGTCCAGTACTCCCAGGTTTTCCAGTGGTTCTCTAACTGATGTCAGCTCATGATTAAATCCTCCATGCAATCAAACAAAATCCCTACAAAAACCAATACTTGAAAATCTGGAATTATCACACAACTGTTCGAAATACCTCTGTACATGCATCAGAATAAGTAGGATGTAGTGTGAAGTGCGATAATGGCAGCATCGATAGCAAAAGCTAACGAGTGTTGATCGGTGAGACCATCTTTTAGAGTGACTTACCGGCTTAAACCTTCTATCATTTGAGGACAACATGTTTAAACCTCTCCACGTCGACTTTGACCCAAGCAAATTGGTCTTGTCTGAAGTCTCGCACACTAAGTATGACTAAAAGCCCAGCGTGTAGGACGGCTTTTGTTCCTCATCGAATATAAACTATTAAAGTAGACCTACATATTAATGGTAATACAACGGACAATCACCACCGTTTGTTTGGCGCAGTCATTTGTTTTTCTTTTTAATGGTCCTAGGCAATTATGATAACCGTGACCCACACTGTCATTTTACTTCATAAGCTATAGAAACCCACCGATAAGAGAAACACATTCGAAGTTATCGCTGCATAGCGACTAGTACCGGTGAGATTTGAACATGACAGGTGGCAAGAGTTTGCCAGAAGTGCGCTGCTTAACAGTCTTGTCAAAGATATGGGACAAAAGCGAAATCAGTAGAAAAGCCACCAGAAACAGATAATGTTCTTCAAATGCTTGCGCCTATTGGAGAAAAGGGTCTTTTTAGAGCTAGATTAAACTAAGAGAAATCCGATTAGGATATCGGGTGGTACAAAGGCTGTCTCTAACTTAAGATGAAATAAAGCAAGACCAAAATATTCTCAGTCCTGTGATCGATGAAGGTGGTGATGCACTACTGAATAGACCAAAGTCCCACCCAGTGTAATTGAATTTTAGATAAGTTTCGTCAAACCCGTGCAGGTCTTCGGTCACCTGGCAATTAGTACAAAGGGGCTAGCTTGAGTAACACAGTACTCAAGATAGTACAGCTCATTATCCCACCAAGATTCGGTGGTGTATATAGGTTTGAACGGTCTATCGTTCAAAAATCCACTAGAATGCGAGCCTGTGATATAATCAGTACAGAGTAACGAATTAATTTGAAATTCTTGTTGAACAGAAAATTCTCGTACTGCGTCATAAAATTAAGTTATAATAGCGAGGAAAATTTCCTTCAGTCTTGCATTTAACCTTGATCATCTTAACACATCACTTAATTTTAAGTGCTAAGATAATGGAAAAATTGGCAACTTTACGCAGTAAATTTTCATCTGACCAAGTTTATACTTTCTAAAAACTTGCTAACGGTGAAAAGTGAGTTTGTACCAGCTGACACCTCTTATTCTGCTGTGTACTGACTTACCCAAAGTTCTTTATAGTCATTGTGATAAACTGATTCCTCTGAGAACATATCTCTTCAACTAAACAAAACAATTACTGAGTATTGAATTTTGCATGTTTTCCCCATATTTGATCACTGCGTAGACTCACAGTTCACGTTTTACTGCTTGAAACAACCTGTAGTTGTGTTTACAAGCAAAAGATGACCATATGCTCTGACTGAAAACACTTTAATTTGACACACTTGATGAAAATGAAATAAGGAGGAAGTTTAAAAAACCAAGAAATTACAGAGAACTGAAATGTGAAGCAGAAAGAATAAGTACATGGACAACAACAGCGATGTGACGATCCCGGGAGTCCATGGAGTGGACGAATTCGCTCCATTGAGAACGATTTCGAGAAATGTTACCAACAGTCTCATGCCATGAGGCCTTAGCGACTCGACGACTCCAACTACGCAGTCTGTAACTTCCTTAGTGGGTGGTTCAAATAAACTGTCAAAGATTTCATAGATGCAAGTCAAGTTTTCATCTGACAACCCTTAACACCTATTTAAATTAATCCTACATCAGTTAGCATTGCTCGATATGAAAGGTGATAGCTTGCCATGCGGGACAAGTGTCCTAGCTGTCTCACTCGATACAGCTTCACAACTTCATTGACTGGTCTCCACTACTTACGTAAGGCTGTATCAGTATCTCATGGGTACAATACATTTTTGGGGAAGAGAACTCATGCGTACCTACATTGCTCCTAACAGTGATAACGGTTATGACCAAACGGGGATTGACTAACGCCATACTTTGAATAACCACATTTATAACCAGGGTATGCACTTAAAACACAAAAAAGCCAATCACCTCTGTAGTAAGAAGCCAAGGAACATCGACATGAAAATTGACTTCAGCTGTACATATATTTTGAAGTATTCATACATCACAGTTAAAATTAGTCAGTTAATATTATGAGCAACACGAAGCCAAATACTACTGTGCAAAGTATATCATTGAAAACAATATATACAATATATGAAAGTTAAATATTTCTAATCTCTGCGATCCCTCTTTCGATGAGTAGTATCTCGATTGCTAACATCTGCTCCTGATGCACCTTCCCCTGGCCGCTTTTCTGCCTTCTTGACTTTGGACAAAAATTTGCTGAGATTAAAGGGATCCTCTTCATCTCGTTCAAACTGAACTGGACCATCCAATCGGCGAGAATGGTCAGCTCCTGAAAACTCACGGTCAGGAACAAAGCGTTTGGTTTTCTTTAGTGCATCAAGATCTGTACCATAAGCGTCATTATCCTTTTGACGTGGACGGTATATATGAGTTCCAAGTTCTGAGTCTCCTCTCCACGGTTTATCGTAAATGTTGTAAAGGTCATCCTCGCCTAAAAGAACTAAATGAATGAAATATGCACTTACCTCCTGCGAAACCTGAGTCTAAACCTCTCGACTGGTTGAAAAGCCTCTGATCAAACTGACTTTCACTCGTTGCATTAAACCGAGGATTAGGAAGCCCGAGTGCAATTTGCTCACTTATGTCCCGATCTTTGTCTTTTTCCACCTTAGCTTTAGTCTCTGTGTTGGCACGAGCTAGATTCCTTTCTCGAGCACGATCTCTTGCACGATCACGTCTCAATTCTTCACGATCATTCAAACCAGGATCAGCATCTTCACCATCCACTGCACCAGGTCTACGGAGACCAGCTCGAGATTCACGAGCTTGCTGAGCAATTCTTTGTAGCTGCTCCTCTTTTCGTTCTTTCTCTTTCTGGGCAACTTTTCTTTCAATCTGCGCTCTCATTTCTACAGCTTCACGAGCTTTTCTATCTGCTGTATAAAGTGCCTCAGCTAATTTTGCAAAGTTCTCATTAATGTGAACTGTTTGAAGTCCACGGCCATCTGCAGCAACTCGTTTGTCTAACGGTATGGTATATCCCCTTGGATTTTTCCAATTAGAAATGCACGGAGGAATCTTCCAATCTTGTTGTTCCTTAACGGTGACTTTTCTTGCCGGGGAGTGCATCAAAGGTGGTGGTGGAGAAGGAGGCCCCCGGGGAATCTTCTGGTTGATTCTAAAAAATAAATTCAAATCAATCGTAATTACTTGAATTTGGGAGGCTCCATGGGGTCTTTCTGCATTTCCACCATTCTGACAAGACGTTGTTTGGCTCCACTATTGAAGGCAGCTCCTTGTTGTGAAGGTGTATAACGAATGTATTCAGCAGGATTTGTTTTCTCTGCTCGACGAACAGGTGCAGCGGCAGCCACTTTCATTTCTACTAGTGATTCTAAGGCTCTCCGTGTTTTTTCTGTTGTCTAACAAAAGCCATTAGGGAAATAAAAACATACCTCTTCAATTGCTTCCTGACTGGGTTTACTCAGCTCAGGATCATCGTCTTCAATAGATTTGGGTAGTAAGTCCGAAAACTTAGAATAGATGATCCTGTCTTTGCTATGCCCTTGACGGACAAGTTCATCGTATCTTATCTTCCCATCTTTGTCAGTTTTCATAACCAGGGCGTTTGATAAATTTTTTTCTTGTCCCATTCCAAGAGGATACTGGGGGACATGGATTTCGGGAAATGCCCCTCCATCTAGAAAATCCTCTTGAGTGCGTGGTACCCAATTCTTTCTGTGTCCGTACGGCGGGATTGTTGACTTGGCGACAAGTACTCTCGAACCTACATTTAAATTCAGAGCAGTCCCGTAGTCATCTCCACTCTTCTGAACTGGAGCTGGTAGCTGTCTAAAAGAGTGGCGAATTAGAATATGCGCAAAATATAGGAAAATCCTACGGTCTCAAGGTTCCAATCTAATGAGCGGGAAATGCCCCTAGCATCTGCAGATTTTATGTGGTGAATTTCGTCCTTTCTCAAGAATCTTACTTCACCCATTCTCAATTCATCTAATAAAGCACCCGAATTCACGAAAATAGTGAGACATCTTCAGAACAGTGGTGATGAAGCTTATCACCAGTGACGAAATAGGAACGCAGCATGCTTGTTCGTAAAGACTCCGCTTCATAACATAATCAAGAACAAAGAAAACTTGTCTAGGAAGTGCTGACAGTGTCCTATGTGAAAAGTATGATGAATTGGGCAACTGACTTGTTTACATTTATTTATACTTCATGAGGTTATCTTGACCCTGCAAAATAAAATCTCTTCCAAACTGAGTCTCGCATAATGAACGCAATAATAATGGAATACTTAAATGCTTTTAAATGAGTCAACAAACTTAGTAACGAAAGATCTTATCAAAGAACACAACCGAAACGGACACACGTAAATAGCAAAATTCAACGGCCTGATTCAGCTTAGACTAACCGTAAGGCTTATATGGAGGCCTTCTATCCTGGTTTAATTGAAGGTGATAATCTAGCACACTAGTAGCTGAATACTGTAGTGCTCGCAAATAGGTGAGTAAATAAGGAGAAAAATGCATTCATTTGCAGGTGGAACATAATTGCACCACGCAACACACGCAGGAAGTTTGCTAAATTTCACTAGAAACTGCATAAGAATAAACAATTGGAAATTAAAAACGACTAGGATTTCCGATAGTTTATCGGTAGCACTACTAATCGCTAACATTCACAAGCACCAAGATACTTCAAAGGCTGAGAGGTTTCTTCACCGTGAATTAAACAAGGTGCTCCAAGAGGTATCATGATCAACGTGAGGCTTAGTCAGTCCCATAAATTGAATTGTAGACCAAACGAATGATCACGTAACGTGTGTACACGGTTTACGCATCAATTATTACGCCAGAACGTTATAGCAATCATGTACTGGTGGCTTCGTGAATGATCTCAACATCAGCATATGAACCACTATTCCGCTTTAGCCGACAGTACACGGATAACAGGAGTTTAAGTATGCAGACGGATAACGATTGGATAATAGGATTCTTTACCTCCTTGTTGTACAAATAGTACATATACAACGGGCCAGCAATTTTCAAACTTTAACTGACTTCATGCATTTACTTGTGTATAAAACGATCAATGGGATAAAATACTAGCCAATACACAGAGATGTATAGGTGCGAAACCACTAACCACTTATTTCTCAAGACAAAACATTCATACAGCAGAGTATCTTACATGATTTCATTTTAACCCTAAATACTACTAGGAGCTGATTATCTTCACGCGATTTCATTTACGGATAACCCAGTTAATAATACTTTACTTTAGACACTGTCCAAACCGAAAATGGGTCACCCACACCTCAAATTTAGAAAACTAAAATCAACTGACCCCAGCAAAGACATCGTAACTGAATAAAGCGGCTAATGAGTGTCGAAGTAATCAAACAACACATGATTTCAGTATTGATTTCTTTCATTGCTAACTAAATGACCAATTGATCTTTCATAGACTTTTGTTTATCGGAACACGTCAAAAAATTATCTCGAGATACTACAGAACTACAATAGTGCACTAAAGTTTCGGCTTGTACATTTTAGATTTGCATAACGGCCCTCCCAAGAATTTGATGGTTGAGAGATGTAGAAATTTACAGACCCATTAACTGGTTCGGTAAAGTCTATATGCTACTGTATTCCATTCATTTTTCCTGGCAGCACGAACTTTGAAAAAGGGAGTGAATTTTACACGCCCTTGTTTAATTTCGGCTTTTGCTGCGTTAGACGATCCAAGAGTCTGTAGATTAACTTTAAATCACTTTGCTCTGATCAAAGTTAGCTTACGTTTCAGTTTTCAGTCCATTTAGTTAAAGGAAGTTGTTTTCTTATGAACTAATAGTTATACATATCCATTTTTGTACAATCATTGGGTTTTTTTATCACTGATTTATAAAGCTTGTATACATATGCTCATATTTAAATCCTCTTGTCCCAATTCACCCTGATAAGCACACCTGTCAAAAAGGAACCACTGTGGAAGAGTCATGTGCCAGTTTCCAGTTGGAAAGGGAATTCACTGTGACAACTGCAATGGATGGTATTATAGCATGTGCAAAACCTAACTCCTGTAGCATACAAGCGCTGCTGAAAACCTCTGGCGAAATGGCTGTGCAGTGGCCGCTGTAGTACGAGTACGTTTCGTATAACAGAAGCCACTGCCACCCTTATTGGTCTCTAAAGCTCATGGACTGCAAAGGTCCTCAGGAGAACAGCTCAGACACCGATGACGTGACCAGCGTCATCGACAAAAAATACACGTTCCTGAAGCGTCTCTGTCAGAAAGTGAGTGCCATTCGGGTTAGAAGAGCACCCACCATATTCCAGACACTCATGCTGCCCTTCAACACCGGATAAACCCTCCAGTGGCAGTAATGGAAAGATTGGCACGAAGAAGACTTGTTCTAGGAGTCGAAAATCCGCAGCCCAAGTCGCCCAAGTACTTAAAGAGGAAGCCTCATCTACACCGGTGAATAACAGGCAAACACAATCGACTGTAGTTAGCGAGGAGGACGCCAATAAATGGTGTTATGTGGTCTCTCACAAAAAACGAGACAATGACAACATGGTGGCCTTACCGCTCACGAAGGACGGAAAGAAAATTACGCCGCAGAGCAAGAAAGCCACAATAAATGAACTTGGCCGCTCTGAAAGGTCGCTCATTCTCCACAAAGTGGAAGAGTCACCGGTCTCTATTCTCAAGGTTAGGTTCCAGCGTGACTTCAACTTGGTTAGGCCTCTCTTAGATAAGCTACTTCCAACAACTGTATTAAGGATAACCATGCACAGCCTACATAGAGCCAAACAAAACCCTGGCTCAACAGTAAATCAGCAGGTACGCATTCTTAAAGTTCTATTACACTCCAAAGAAGAGAGCGATGCCAATCTAAGCAACTCTCAGACTCCTAAAGGATAGAGCATATACGTCCGTGCCGATTTGTGTCTAGCAGACCGTTTTAAAAGACAGTATGCAGCCCTAGAATTAAACAAACGTCACCAAAACGGTGAAAACCCCCTTACGTCTAAGGGTTTTCGAGTTGTCAGAGTTCAAATTTTGATGATCCCGAAACCCCTGTGGGTAGGCCGCGTAAGCACCACAATGAAATGACAATTTGCCACACAAATACCCGCAGCCTGACGAACAAACAGACTTAGCTGTGTAATATGATAGACTCTGGAAATCAGATGTAATTATTATCACGGAAACATAGCTTACACCCGATGTCACTGGTAACGAAGTTAACCTGCAATCTTCAAAGTCCATAGGGTGAATCGTGTAAGCTGAAAAGGAGGTGGCGTTGTCACCTACCTCAAGAAATGTTTGACCGCCAGTAGCATCGAAGCACTCAGTCACGAAAGTGAATCGTGCGAACTTCTACGCTACGGACTGAAATGCATGGGCCAAGACATTTACATCATTGCTATATGCCGCATTCCTGACTGCAGTTCAGGAAACTAAGCTGCTAGACATCGAGATGCCGAAATCTCGTAGTTGGCGACTTCAGCTCCCAAGCAGTTGGCATGTCGGACAAGGCTCACAACGCCACCTTCAAACAACCCCCTTGATCAAAAGCTGCTGGAATTTAGCGTTTCGCTAGCCCTAGTCTAAAATGTCATTAAGCCCAAGCGCTATGATTCACAGCACTCTTCTTCAACTCTTTACCTAGTGTTCTCCCATGGTGACAACATTTTCCACCTTCAGGAAGAATTGATCACGTTGTGCTCACTTCCAAGTTAACAGAAGCAGTATCATGGGCCAAAACGCCAACCGGGCCAAACATTTGAGAATCTTATATAAATACGATCGTCTCAGCAGCCAACTCAGTTAACTGGTACATCAACACAGAGTCCCAAGTAGAAGCCACATGGAACCATTTTAAACAACTTCACGCCCAAGTAACTGCACCTCTCATCCCCTAGTATGTCCCGAAGGGCCGGAACATTGCCCTCTTGGATAAACAGGGGGACTTAGGTGTTGCTTAGGTGTAAACGCAAATGTTGGAACCTGTTTGTGACACTTGAGACTACTGAGACTAGGAAATTTTACCACTAGAAAGAAAGCTATTGCAGAAATCCGCCAATCAAGGATGAAGTTCTACGCACATTTGGCTCAAAATGCAACTAGGCAACTAAAAATATTTTCTCGTACATGAACTTCAAGAATGAAACATCCAATAGTGTTCTAGACCCAACTGTTGACAGAGGCACAATCAGAGAAGGTCAAGAAAAGGCAAATGCAATGGCAGACTGCTTCTCCCAGTCTTTACACAGGGGTCGTCACTCCAAATGGTGTCAGCCCCGGCTACATCAGAGGAACACGGCATAGATTCCGTTGACGTCGACCGAGAAATCCTGCTCAAGTGCCTAAGGAGACTAGATTCAAGGAAATCAATAGGTCCTGATAATCTTCGCCCAAGAGGTTTTAAGGGGCTATCAGCTCACATAGCCAGCTCATTGACTGAGATCTTCAAGCTCTCTCTCCTAAATGGATCGTTACCGTCTGACTGGAAAGACGCCATGGAAATTCCCATCCACAAAGGAGGATCAAGACAAAGCCCTTCAAATTACAGGGCTACTAGTCTTACCAGCACTTTAATCATGAACACTGGAAAGAATCACCTAAAAAAGTATCATGGCATACCTGGATACAACAAACTTTTATCCAGAGAACAGCCTGGCTTTCGAAGAAACCTCTCATACCTGTCAAATCTCTTCAGTGCAAGAGAAAACTGGGTCAAATCAAAGGACAATGGAAAGACCCGTCGAGTTCATCCTCATAGACTTCTGCGAAGCCTTCCATAAAGTTCCTCACAAATGACTACTGATGAAATTGGAAAGTCTTGACATCAGAGGCAGCTGAGTAAATTGGATAAAGGAATTCCTCACAGATAGGATGCATAAGGATAGGGTCAACACGAAACTCCCCTCCTGGAAAGAAGTACGTAGCGGAGTGCCACAAGGAACGGTACACGGATATCTCCATTTAATTTCGTATAACAATGATGTTAATCACGTCTCATAAACCGTTCATGCCCAGCTCTTGCTACGCTCGGGCCCACTCTGTTTCTTGAAGTTTTCAGAAACGCTTAGTTATAACGGACGAAAAAACCAAAACACCGATTGGCCGCTTGAGATTTCTTTATTGTTACACCAACATATAAAAATAATAACTGAACTAAGGTCTGTGAACAAATATTACAATAATAAATCATAGTATTACTTCTGACGATGTTTCACTCTTCTTTCTGAACAGCGACCGATGAGACGATGACTGTCGTATTGATGCCTCCGCGAAAATTGGGGAAGTTGATTTTGAGCAAACAACCAAGAATTGATCGTTCAATCTTCAACTACATTGACACTCCCCGGCAAAAAAGGGATCCATCCCTTTTTTCCATCACGACCAATACACGTTGACTTGGATGCCATTGCGAGAACCTGGGTCACACGGACAGAGCTGAAATGGAAAACAAACAGAAAAGCCAACACACCACAAGCATACCCACAGCACAATCTCACACATCGCTGACGACCTGCGCCTCCAGACAGAGACCTCCTCTTGACATCTTGCAACACAATCGCCACTTGCTAGAATGACTCTTGCAGAATGCAACGTGACCATAGCACCAACTCACGATACTCTACGCACATCCTCTTATCTACTCACTACCAATTACCACTGCAATCGCTTGTCACTCATTCTGCCTCAGTTCTAGTAGCGGTGACGCATGCGAGCCTCAGTCGTTTACACTCTTTCTCCCCGGCGTGTCGGACCGCAGCTAACAATTATCTCCGTGTGCATTTCATTCTCAGCAATAGCCTAGCCTCCCCGGCGTATACGCCCCATCTGCTGTCCTTAACATCAATCAATTCATTCATGGATGTAGAAGAGTGGACACAACTTCAGAAGTAATCACGACGAAAATTTTAACAAAATTATGCAATAAAAACAAGGTACGAAAACAACGAGTAAACACAATGAATCCAAAAACACCAACTGATATGACACACCACACGTATATACAAACAGTACACACAAACTCGCAGTTCATGTCTTGATGGAATTCCTTTGAAGAATCGCAGGGCTAACACCAGTACGCCTACAACCTTCACAGGTTGACGATTGTAATTTGTGGAATGTCCGGACACAAACAAGATTATTCAACAATTACAATAATTGGAACTCACACAACTATTTAACACAAACATATGTACAATCACTACATCAAATGTTGTGGATTCTGACACGACAAACTACCCTTGAAGAACTGTAGGACTTACAGCAGTACGCCTACATTCCTTCTCAGGTTGATGATCCAAGTGGAAGTCGTCCGGACACAAACAGAATT